GCGTAATCGTCCGTTATCGACCGACTCCAGACCGATTTTGAATTTGTAAACTGTCATTGCAATGGACAGTTGACATTGTGCTCTGGAGGAAACAATTTGTATCACTCTTGCTACGGATATAATTTGTAATCTGGAATTTTTTGCATACCTTTTTAATACGTATTTAATTGCGGCTCGCGAAAAATTTCAAATTTTGAAAAATGGCTCGGACTATCAAGGAGCTTGGCTACCCTGGATCTATATAAATATATATAAATAAAAACGTAATGTTCGTTTGTTCCTACCGATTCCTTTGAAGTTTTGACACAACGCTGCATTCGAATACGCACGTGTTTTTATATAATATACGTGTCGAAATTCCTCCCACTGGGGGGAAATGGACAGGATTAAGGCTTACCGTAAAGTACTCTGCTTCTATTTATACTATTTCACATGCGGTTTTTTGCGTTTTTGATTGCGTTTTAATAGGGTACGTCAAGAAAACGTACGCTAAGGGATTTTTCGAAAAATTCCCCCCTCCCACGGGGGAAGTGTTATACATTTATAATAGATACATTTGAGCCACAACAACGCGTGGTGCGGGGTCTGCTAGTTTCAAATAAAAATAACAAAAATCACATAGAAGAGCGATTAAGAATTACTGAACTTCCTAAGCTAACTTTTATTGGTATTATTGGACTTAATAAAATTTAACGTATAATTAGTCTAATTTTGACACATATATAATTCTTTCATGTTTGATTTATTGCTCATTGAACAAAACTTTCATCCAACATTATCATTTACAACTGGAATATAATCTGAATTTTCTATAACCTAACAACAGATTCAATATTAAAAACGTCGTTTAGACGTATATAGATGATAATTTAGAAAAAATAGATAATTACTATAGTTACTCGTTAACTAATTAATTTTTAATCTCTAATTATAATCACGCTTTAATACATAAAACTACGATAAATTACATTTTTAGTGTAAATAGCTATTTTATATTTATACGATTTTAATATTTTGAATTTTTTAGTTTTAAGGGAATGGAAAATAAGTCTATGGACATAAAATTGTGTGTGTATAAAATGAATTACGATCTTATTTAACATCAGTAGTTTGTTATTTATGACATATTTATCAAGAATATTACACAGAATATTATTAAATTACAAAGCGCTCTTATAATTTAGCATTGTTAGGAAATTTTTTATAATTTAGCAGAATTATTCGAAATTTCACAGATTTATAAACTGTATATTTGAATACTGTTGAAATTTTAACACTTCTATTTTTAAGCCATTTATGATTTTATTATTTCGAAAATGACGGTATTTTACGGCATATAAGACACATCCCCATTTCAGCGCAGAATATTTATGAAGTATAGTAATTAGTGTATGTAGTAATTATATAATTATGCCATCCCGCGGCTTTGGTACTCTGCCCCAATTTATTTATTTTTGCTGTATTCTGGTTCAAGAATACACACTTTTATTTATCAACAGTGTGTATACTTTAAAAAAATTAATTTAAAAGAAGTTATTTACAATTAAAATATTCTACGTGAATACACGCAGAAGCTACTTAGCTATAGCAAATAATAATATGTTTAATTAAACAATAACAGAGTTGGATTAGGTAGACGTTACCTGAAGGCAGTGTGCGAATTCATTAGTCTATGGAAGATCTCAGCTTCACTTATAAGATGCAAGATTGTTTTGAAAAATAGCTGCTGTAAAATACAATACTTTATTTTTTTTTTATTACTGTAATAGATCGATTTTTTCATACTTCAAATTAAATAATTACAAAGTGAAAACTATAAATTCATTACATAAACTAGAATAAAATTGTTCAAATTATTATTTTGTTTTTAAATTAAGTTTTTAATTTAGTGTTTCAGGCCAAGATTCAAGACTCAAACCGTTGTAATTGCAAAAATATCAGTTTAATAAATCCGTGTGGTATTTAAAAAAAAAAAAAAACAAATTTGAGTTGTGGAAATTGGAGAGAAAAAATATAATTTAAATTTATTTTACCCAAATAACTTATAATATATGGATTTTCTTGAAAAATTATTATTTAAATCGTTAAAAATACTTTAAATAAGTTTAATGTAAGAGCTGAAGTCTCAGATTTCATCATGACGTAATATGAGTGAGAAAATTTTTATTCCGAGATATAAATTATGCGGGATATATTATTTACATGTCAATCTACGGGTATACTTTTTCATATTTATTGCTTTGAAATTAATTATAACTCTTAAACATTTTTTTAGCATTTTAAAATATTAGTTGAGTGAATTGTTTGGGTAAATATTGCCGAAGTATCTCTTCCGCATTCCTAACTTTGGTCAACTCTATTCAAGCTCGTCGAATGACGTACAAATTACTGTATTGTTTGATCATTTAAATTTTGTAGAAAGAAGAAATGATGATTTAAATTGAAAGAATAAAAGAAAACTATTATTAAAAATATTAAAAATCAGGTGTAAAAATTGATAAGTGGTGCACTATTTCTATTTCCTTTCATTGTATTCCATCAATTGTTTTATATATGCTAATATTGAATAGCGAATATTTATCAATATGAATTTTATCCACTTGTTTTCTCATCTGTTATCTAATGACGATGCACATAAATATGGAAATTTTCAAGTCGCTTTCTGTTATTGAAACAACTATACATCTACATCTCCAAGGGGAGTCGAAATTTTAACATCAAGTTAAATTTTATATACCATAAAATCTTAACGGAAAAAATAAATAAATAAACGATGATAAACTTTTTACTCCGATAAACTGATAATTGTTGCAAGAAAAAACTAGGTTATCGCATTTTCGCCTCGTTACTACGAAGTTTCCTCTTCGAAAAATGCATTAAGAACACTTTAAGATCATTTAAAGTTTTTTTTTTTTTATAGTTCCAGAATATTTTTTTATATATATAAAAAGTATAAGTTTATATAATTACTCTGTTAATTAAAAGTGATGATATGACGGAAGTATTAACATGTGCATAATTACATACTACAGTAAATGTATTTAAATAGGAAATATGTCATATGCAAAAATATATACAGCGTGCGAAAATTATACTGAAATGAAATCTGTTAGGTACAGTAATATAATGGAATATCTAAAAGTTTTAACGATAAGAAGTGTTTACGTTTAAACTGATTCCAGATGAGATACTGTCGTATTCACGTATTTCCTTTTTTTCTCTGATATCCTTGAAACTCGGTGCTATTGATAGGTATATCCTAATTTATAATAGGATGATAATCCTCAATTAAATGTATAATCCTTGTGCTACGTTACTGTTCAGTACATTTTTATTAATATTCTAGTAAATTATGCAAGAATAATTGTGTTATACTATAAATTTCAGAAAAATAAAATGTTTTTTTAATTGAATTACATTATAACTTAATTTTTTCTCTTTTTATGTTAAAAGTATTCAATAATATAATTAAAGTCATTCGAATATGATCGAATTAAAAGAGAGAGAATACTGTTAAAAATCTTAATGCTGATATGGTAAAAGTTCGATAGTTACAAACGAACGTGGATGTTTATTATTATTATTATTATTATTTTCCCATATGATTGTTTTGTATGCTCATGCGCTGTTTGACGTGCTACGTCAACAAAACCAGCCCCACGTGGCATCCTGTGTCGGCAGATCGCACTCGAGACCTTGTCTCATTTATATTTTGTCTTAACTGTTATCATGTTTGCCGCCTACAAGAGGGTAAGTTGGTCCTTCCTCTCTGCTAATTACGATCGAAATGGTCAACACTTTATGATTTTTCTGTATATTATTCAAAACGTTATTCTGTAATCAGCTGGAGTAAAAAAAAAAATGTTATTTACAACTTTTTTCTTTAATTTGTTAGTACGTATATTGAAACAAAATTATCTTTTGTTTACATTTGTCAGACGATGATTTTGTAATGTTTTAATCTTAAGAGTGGTACTTTAGCGTTAGAAAAAGAGTAAAATATGTATAAATTTATAAAATAAAATAAATTTATAAACATTTTAAAAAGTTTTTCGTAATAATTTTAAATCTCAACAATGATGAAATTTTTACGAAGATATTATGAAATTTTAATACATGATACAATTAAAATTTGCATGTTATCTAACGTGCATTGTTTAGTGTGATATCTTATCTTTTTATTTATTTAGAATGCATATTTTGTATTGTCAAAATTGTATCTAGCATGTGATATTTTTTTATTTTTAATCTGATGGTAAATATTAACTTAACTGTAAGTGGAAATGTATTTCCTTACTATATTTTCTTAATGATAAATTGTGACTTTTAATAAATTCTTTAGCTATTATTTTTACACATTTTTCAGTTTATATAATAACTTTTTATGTTTCTGTATACATAACATTAATGTTATAATGTCATAAGGAAAATTAATATTTACATAACTCTGCAAGAAAAATTTTATATAAATAATGTTATTTGTTTACAGATTTTTGCAATTTATATTGTTAATAATAATAATCATCAGATTTGGTATCCAAATTTATATTGTGAAAAATGTTTTCTGTGGCTCAATAAAGTAAACAGTTGAAGTTATTATAAAGTTTTATATGGCAGCATATGCTTTTCAAGTTAAATATATACATTTTTAAAATTTAAAGTAAAGATTACAGATCCATATAGCATTGTTGCTACAAATAATGTGCAGCAAGATTTTCTGAGATGCACGAAACTAATATGGGATAATTTATAATATATGAAAAGTAGACTTGTTCTATAAACAGATTATTTATTTTTTTATTTTACTATATAGCTCCAGCATCCTGATCATCAGTAAAAAATTAAATGTATCTTTGGTTGAAAATGGAATAGCTTACTTGTATTAAATTTTTGTATTTTGTATTCGTTTATTGTATTCTGTTCTAAAAGTTGATAAAATTATTTGGAAATGAATGCAGTCAATTTTATGATATTTAATCATCTGTATTTTTTCAGAATTCTGTTTATTTTTTAGCAAAGCATATAACGTAGTTTAATATCAGCTTATTTGTGAGGATTTGTTAAGGTTTTATTTGATACTTTGTTCGTAATAGTAATTTCCAATGTCATTATCATATTAATAGGAAGCATAATTTTTCAGTATGATGATGCCAGGTTTTTAGAATCAGATTTGAAATACCATTTGCTGAAATAAACCACTCTGATAATAATGGAAGTCTTTACTATAATGGAGTTTATTACAGTATACTATACCTCTATCAATTCTACTACAAATGATTAAATTCACTATAGCGAAAATTATATTGTAATAACTTACTTTATGTGAAAATTGCATTTACTTTATTTTATTACTTTGAATACTACTGTAGTATAATAGTTTAGTGTTATATATGAGTTATACCAGATTTTAATTCAGTTTTATTTAGTCATTTTTATATAATATAAGATTATTTATATAAATTGCATTCATAAACATTGAAATTTCTTTTTCTTTTGCAAATAATAAAAGTTTTAAAAGTATCAGAATACTAAAGGCCTTATAGCAGAAATATTTTATATATAATAAATACTTTTTCTTTTTGATAATTGTAATTACTTAGCCTCTGAGTAACAGGGCTCCTATCTTTTATAATAATAAAGATTGATGATGATGATGATGATAAAATACCATTTTGTGTGTATTGCTAACTGTAAATAAAGAATGCTTTATTCCATTCCAGCAATATCAATTTTCTCTTATCTCAATGATAAATTATTTTGTAATATTAATAATCATAATAATATATTTTATTACATTGAAAATTTCTTAACTTAATTCCACCTTTGATAGTGCATATTTTTAAATTAAAAAAATATTATTTCCTTTTTAAGTCATTTGTCATGATTCAGTTTCAGAATTTGATATTCTTAAGAAAAGAAAACCAAATTAATTCATGATTGAACCTAAAAAATATGTATTTAGTAAAAAACTTAAAAGTCAGTTTTTCAAAAAGGAATATAGTATCTGAAAGTGTAAAGTTTCTCTGATGGCAAGCATTACCACATTTTATACTTATTGCATAGACTTTTTTTATAGGATAATTACAATTTCTAATTACAAAAGAGTAAATAATTTTTTAATCTTTCTCAATATATATTGTTAATGCTATACTTATTAATTTTTTAGAGTCAGCAGAAGTCCACAAATGTCACCTATCAAGCACATCATGTCTCAAGAGACAAGAGAGGGCAGATTATGGGCCAGAGGGGTGGTTTTAGAGGATGCACTATATGGTTTACAGGTAACTTTTTAAAATTATGCTTATGCAAACACACAAAAATTTTTATAAAAATTGTTAAATATGTACATATAAATTCTACCCGATATAATCCGGTAGTTGTTTGGCTTATTAATAATATATCAGGTTTCGTGATGTTTGTATATGCATATAAATTCTTTTCAAGAATTCAAAACACAGTAAAACTGTCTAAAACAGAACTTCTACAAAATGGAAAATAAATCCACAATGTAATTGTTTGTTGCATAAAATACTATTTTTAGCTGGAATCTTGAGAATGGAAGACTTTTTGGATACTAACTGCACACTATAATCTTATTAAAACAGAATTGTTTGCATAACAGCAACCAAATTTTAAATTATAATTATTACTCTAACTTGCAGGATTGGAACATAGGTGACTTCTCAGGAGTGGCTTGTCATAAGTACTATGGAACTGCAACATTCCAAAGAAAAATAAAATCATAGAACATCATATTTTTATTATATAGTAATATATAAATTATTATACACAGTTAAAATTTTATGAAAACAGTATGTGAAAAAAATGATTTTGTTAGGGTAGTTGCATTCCTTGCACCCTTCTGCAGACAATACTGTTAAACAGTGCTATGTTATCTCCCACTAAGAGAATAGTCCCATTTGTTTGACCACTGTGTCTCATGATACAATGAATTGCTTAATACAGTCCTGCACTGTTTAGCAGTACTGGCACAGTGTGGCTGCATAGCAGGAATTTAGTTACTGGGTCAGAGCAGAGGTGAAAAGTACTCTGACCTTTAAACATTAATATGAAAATGACAGAAATTTCACATCTTGAATTAATTTATTTTAATTAAATAAAAAATTATTTTATGAATGCAATATATTAAGTATTGTATATATAGTTTGTTATGTAAAGTAGTGGTTGTTAACCCCATATTAGACAGTCACAAGCTGCCACTGTCAGAGAACAAGCTGTCTAGAAGTGCTTGTTTCCTGGGAGTAACAAACATTTAAAAAATAGTGTGTATTATTTGAGGAGAAAATATTGCATAATATAGAGCTTTTAGCAAAAAAAAAGTAGTTATTAAAATTAAAATTAATATATACATAGTAAACAACCCAATATATTCATATTGCCAAACAATCTGTCCATTCAATTTATTGTATTTTATATTGATGTCTTATTTATGATACAACTATTTTATAGCATACTATTCTATCTTTATTATATTATTTCTACTTTATAAATTAATGTTAAGTTAAAGTTTTATTATTATTATTATTATTTGATAATTACCATATAATTACTACATTACTCTTATATTGTCTCTGAGAATAATGGTTCTTAGAAATTTATTTTCATTACTCTTAATGTCAGTAATATAGTAGTGAGTGAATTTTGGCCAGTTTTAAGAATTTCACATGGAAATGGTTGCTTTTGTCTAGCTAATATAAAGTAGAAACGTTTTATTTTAAAATGTTTTGCTACAACTGTTTGTTAACTCTTATTTATGAAAAATAAGAATATGTCATACAGTGGTGTGCAGTGACATTTGATAATAGAGAAGCTGTGTTTCCATAAAAATTTTAAATAAATACTGGAAATGACAAAAATAAATGGTTTATTTATTTTAATTCTAAAATAGATAACTGACATGAAACAAAGATATAAGAACCTGTTTTTATTATTTTTATATAAACTAATTCTATTCAGCAATTTTTTCTGCAAAGTCGTTAATTACTTTATCATAAAAATTGCTTGTCGTTGATTTCATCAAAGTATTTAAAAACTCTTTTTCTATTGAAAGCAATGGTAGTGAAGACAATCTTTCCTCTGACTGAGTGTTCTTTGCAAGTGCACGAATTTTCTTCATGGTTGAAAAACTGTACTCAATAGATGCACTCATAGATGGTACCATAAAAATCAATGATATTAAATGATATAATTTTTTTAGTATATCTTTGTTTAGAATGTCATTAATTATAATATTTTTTATGTCTAAGAGTGACTTGCGAATATAGTTGGGACATAAATATAAATATTGCAATTCACCAGGTAATTTAGATAAATCAAAAAATTCTCCATAAAATTTACTTAATTTTAAGAATTAAAACTCACTTTGGAAAATTGTTTTTCATAATATTTAAAATTATTAACATCTAAAAGTGATAAAAATTCTAAAGATTTTGTGTGTGAAAATCTGTCAAAATAATTATAATTAAATATAGCTTTGTAAAAAAATGTACATAAAAATACCTTTGAATATTCTTTACTTTAAATCTTAAAACAATGCACTTAGTCAAATAGCTCCCTACCAGTGGCTAATGGATAGAATTATTGGAAGCGTTATACAATATTTTGGTGTGTAGCATCTATGAGCTAAACTGCCAGAGGTTGGTGCTCTGTAAAGTGCATGCACAAATGCTTGCAATCTGGCTGCTTTACACAGTTCAAATATTTTTGCTGTGAAAGCTGTTCGTATTCGACAATACAGTGTTTCCATTGGGAATGTGCATATATGAATTTATATTTGAATATACAATAGCATTCTTATCATTATTTTTCAAATGTATAGAAATTTGTAATAAAATACATAATGCAGTTATAATAAAATATTAATTTTAAGTAATTCAAAGTATGTTTAAAATATGAAAATAATTGTACAATATGTATTTATAATTTAGAAAATACAGGGAAGCAGTGCTTCCACAGCTTCCATGGACTGCACGTCACTGATGTCATTAATTTTTTGCCACATAATCTGCAGATTATCTATCACACTATATTAAGGCTAATAACTAATCAGATCCAAATCAATTTGGCTAGATGTAGGCAGTTAAGCTACCATCTCTTGATAAATTTAATAAATTTATAAAGATACAAATTTATTTGTATTTAATTAGTTATTAGCCTTAATATTATTTGATAGATAATATGGCAGATTGGCAGTGAAATTAGTTTGATGTCCTATTTTTTTCAAAAATAAAAGTTAACAAACAGTTGTAGCAAAACATTTTAAGATGAAACATTTCCACTTTTTCTTATTACTATATTTCCACTATATTAGTTTGACAAAAACAACTAGTTCCATCTGGCAAAATTCTTAGAAATGGCCAAAATTCATCACTATATTACTAACACTAAGAATAATGAAAATAAATTTCTAAGAGCCATTAATCTTACAGACAATATAAGAGTAATGTAGTAATTATTAAATAGTAATAATAAAACTTAATATTAATTTAAAAAGTATAAACAATATAATGAAAATAGAATAGTATGCTATAAAATAGTTATATCATTAATAAGATATAAATATAAAATATAATAAATTGAATAATACAATGGATACATCACAATAATGTGTTGAGTTAGTTAGTGACAAATTATTTTATACAAAAATTTAAATTTTCTTATTTGTAAAATTCAATATTGGCTTTTTCTGTTCTTGCATGTTGAAAATATCTGTTTTATTTGTATGTAATGAAATGGATATTGATAAAAAAAATGCTAAATTCAGGAAACTTAAACCAAATTTTTTTTATTCAGAAACATTCTTGTTCTTTTCAAAAACAAAAATGTTTCTGAATAGAATATTTAATTTTGGTTTCCTGAATTTAGTATTTATTCTCATCATTTTGAACATAGTGCTAAGTGCCAATGTTATATCTGTTAAAACGGATAAAATAATTGGTGATAAATAAAAAAGATTTCAGTGTTTAAATTTTTCCTGAAAGTATTTTTTGAAATATATACTGTATATTTATTTACATTTATATCTGTTTAGTTCTTTGATATATTTTATTTAAATTTAATATGTATAAAAATTTTAGATATTTCAGATAAAAATATTTTTTAATTAAAGAACAATTATTTTTTTCTTTTTTTTAGAAATAAAAATCAAATTTTATATAGTAGAAAATTATTTAATAAATCTCTCTTATTTCTACTATAGAAGAAAACCTATATTTCATAAAACAAATCTACACTAATTTAGTTTATAGAATTTTTAATATAAAATTTAAAACTATTACTAAACATTATTCATAATTACCTCTCTATTTTATATCTTTTTATCTTGGAAATCATCTATCCAAAATGTTTATTTAAACTGATAGATTTTGAAGTTTTTTGGATATATTGAATACTTTCTGTGAAACTTACTGTGTAAAATGGCCAGAAAACCTTAGGTAAATAATTAGACATTTCTTAACTTAGTGAAATAATGTATTTTTTATTTATAAGTAGTATGATCATTACTCTACAACCAGAATGTTAATTAAATACTAAAATATTTCCAAAAATCACCAGGATGTATTCAGCTAATTAAATTATTTATTGATTAGAGAATCTGAATTCCTTATAAAAATATGTTACCTATGTGTAGTTCAAATTTTCTTATCATGAAATCATTTAATTAGTCTGTCATAAATCACTGGAGTATAATTAATCTTTGGTATTTGTTTATAAATATATGAAGCTGTAATAGGATTTAGAATTGTTTAATAATATATGTACTGTACATAATTAACATTTAGACTATCCACAAAACACAATTAGACATCTTGCATAACAATTCGTCACACAAGGAGTCCTGAATAATTTCATGCTTTCCACCACATCATCAGAGGCTATTAGTCACTAAATACTACACCAAAAACCCACAACTGAAATTCTGAAAATCTTAAAACTCAGAATCATTCAAATCTGCCAAATTCCAGTTCTATGAGTAGACAAATTCTAAGATCAAAAATTAATCTTTCTTCACCTTAACACATCAGGTTCTACTTAAATTTAAAAAACCACTAAAGATGAAAAAATCGTCATGCAAAGTATTACATAACCTAGAAAAACTCAAAGTCTTTCCAATGTTTCTTAACTTTTCAATCAAGAGGATTGAATCTTTCCATTTTTCATAATTCAATTCTATATCCTCTCTGTCTTTAATAATAACTAATATGAAGTTCAAACTATTTTTTTTGAATCTATAATTTTTCAGCTTATGATATATGATATATTCTTGTCATCTTTTATTTCCTCTCTTGTTATGTTATTTAAAGACTGTGAGTATCCCTGTTGGTGACCAGCCTGATTAAAAGTAACTTTAAACTCTATGTAATGATTTTTGTGACTTCTCCATTAAAGTAGTGCTTTATGGATTATGATTCTTGCAGATTGGTGTTGATTTTGCACTTTGACTAACAAATAATTGTATAAAAATTAATATTGTATTGAATGTAATTCAGTCTTTAAAAATGTTTAAGATGGAATATCCTGTAAAATACATTTTGTTTTTGTTTATATTAATGTTGTCAAATAATTACAAATTAACATATCATTATGTTTATGAGCTATATAAGAACTACATAGACTGGATTTGCTCAAGTCACATTTTTGACAAAATTATTATATATTATGATAATTAGTTTATTACATCTTACAAATGTATGTCAAAATATACATTTTATAAATCATTATTAAATGTGCTTGATTCATTTTTAATCACTAGGGCTGTCTGGTGCTGGAAAAACTACCATTTCGTTTGGTGTAGAAGATTATTTGTGTTCTTTTGGAATTCCAGCATATGCACTTGATGGAGATAATATTCGACAAGGTCTTAACAAAAATTTAGGATTCAGTCCCGAAGACAGAGAAGAGAATATCAGACGTGTAGCAGAAGTTGCGAAATTATTTGCTGACAGTGGTGTAGTTTGTTTGTCTAGTTTTATAAGTCCATTTGCTAAGGTGCATTTATAATTTGAAAAGTTTTATGTAACAAATACAAGGTTTTGATTTTTTTTTATTTTGTTATCTGATTGCAGGATCGTACGCAAGCACGTATAATTCACGAAGAATCTGGTCTTTCATTTTTTGAATGTTTTGTAGATACACCTTTAGAAGTGTGTGAATTAAGAGATGTCAAAGGTTTATACAGAAGAGCTAGAGCTGGAGAAATCAAAGGTTTTAATAATAAAATATCTCATATTTTTTAATGTTAGTATATAATTAAATTATTTATATTAAAATTTAATTTTGCTTGTTAGGATTTACTGGAATTGACTCTGCTTATGAGAAACCTGTTCAACCTGATTTAACAATCAAAGCAGGAGAACTAACTGTTCATGATTCTGTTCAGCAAGTGATAAAATTGTTATTAGATAGAGTACGTTGGTTAAATTATAATTTATATTATTTAATTTATTAATAACAATAATAATCTGAATCTCATCAATTTTTAAATTATTAAATTATTTCTAAACTAGGGAATTATTCCAGAAACTGTATTAGATACTGTGAAAGAGTTATTTGTACCTACAAATAGAGTTAGTTCAGCGCGTAAGGAAGCCGATGCTCTTCGAGGATTAGAAATCACAAAAGTTGATTTGCAATGGGTTCAAATTTTAAGTGAAGGATGGGCCACACCTTTATGTGGATTTATGAGAGAAAGAGAATTTTTGCAAAGTCAACATTTTGGTTGTCTTTTAGAAGGTATAAAAAAAATTAGCTGTCTGAACATAATATCATGAGAATGACCATTTTTTATTGTAATCTTAATAGGTGGTGTTGTGAACCAGTCTATACCTATAGTACTGGCTTTATCTAAAGAAGATAAAGAAAGACTTGAAGACTGTTCTGCATTTGCTCTTCGTTACAATGGAAAAAGTTATGCAATTTTGCGAAATCCTGAATTCTACGAACATAGAAAAGAGGAACGCTGTTCTAGACAGTTTGGAACATCAAATGAAGGTCATCCATATGTTAAGGTTTGAGTTTTAAATTTTTTTATTATTTTTAGTGTACTTGCATAAATGGAAATTATACATTTAAGATGCTACCATAATTTAAAATAAAATTTATAAGCTTTTATTCAATTGATTGTTAATTAGAATAGATTTGTCTGAAACCTTAATATTATTTTCTAAAACAGCTTTGATGAGGAAGACTTCCCTATAAATTTAATAATTAGATTTACCAACATATCTGTAATCTCAAGATATACTGATGTGAAACAGTTTGAATGAAACAACCTGAAAAATGTATTTTATTCAAATTGAATATATTCTGAAAAAGTTAATACAGACAATAATTTTTGTACCTAATTCTTAACTTTCTCAAATTGTAACTTGAAAGATTCACTCTGAACAGATTTACAGGAAGTAATTTTGTGAAATCTTTAATCAATACTGTAAGAATTCAATTTTTTCAGTCATGAATTTAATCTTTTCTTTAATCCAATGTCCAGAAAAAGGAAAATAATAGTTATAAGCAGCAATATAATACTAAAAAGTTAAATAATTAATTATAGAATAATAATTTTATGTAGAATATAGTTTTATTCTTACATTTAATAACACTAACAATTTTTCTTAGATGATATATGAAAGTGGTGATTGGTTAGTAGGTGGTGACTTAGAAGTCTTGGAACGTATCTGTTGGAATGATGGTCTTGATAAATATAGGCTGACTCCAAATGAATTAAGATCCAAATTCAAAAAGATGGGAGTAAGTTTTAAGCTATTTAAATTTCTAATTTATAAGTTTCTAAAATCTAAAGCCCACAATTATAAATTAAATGATACTGTCAGATTCATTATCCCATAACTTGGCTAGTTAACATGTAAATATGAAGTAATTTGACTAAAGATACAATTAAGTTGCATTTTTTATATTAAATTTAATGATTAGAATTAATTTATAATTCTTGCCTTAGTTTATTGTAGTTATAACTTATATAAATACTTAAACTCAAACAAAAATATCTAACCAGCATATCTCAAATTAACACATGTTTTTACTAATGTTTTAATCTGTTTATAAAGACATCTTCAGATATATATAACTCAGAACAAAGTGGACAAATTAAATTCGAACAAGGTTTTACAAACAAATTATAAATTCAGTTTAAAATTATTTTTCACATAAATAACTAATTAAGTTTAAATTTTCATTTATGTAAGTTTGTATCTGCATAGCCTAGTGAGATGTATATGAGAAAAAACTTTAAGGCTGTCTGTTTCTTTGAAATTAATTCCTACTCCACTTTTGAGTGCCCTATAGATTTCAATTGACTCCAGGTATTTAAGGCGTGTCTATCAGAAACCCTGTGTAGCAATCTTTTATCCTGTAGATTGACATATACAACTTTCACATCTGGCATAAGTGGCTAAGGCTGCAGATGAAAGTTTCTTTTTGATCATATATTCATGTTTTTTCATTCTCATAGTGAGACCCCATGCAGTCACACCAATTATGATTAAATTGATAAATCCAATGAATATGCATAATCACTGTGTATTCTGCATAATAAAACCAACAATTGGTGAATGATAAATTATTCATGTTTCTTAAAATTAATCATATTAACCTGTTATTATGAACAATACCTAGCACCCTCTGGTTAAAGTGATAAATTTCATATTTCTGCAAGTTTGAAAAGTAAAAGTGAAAAAAAGAGTGAAGATTCCATAAAAGTATTGCAGTCACAGGCAAAGAATATTAGACAAATGTCTGGCATAAAGTTTCCAAGGGAGCAAGATTGGAGACACTAAAAAAAAAACTGCAAGTTCCTGATGTTAACAAAGAAAGGGGTGACTCTAGGAACATTCAAGGGGTCATCCACAGATAGATGCTGATGGTAAGATATATGAGATTGGCTCAAAAGTATTCAAGGAACCAGTTTGTCATTTGTCAAAAGACTTCATCTTGTAAAATGAAAGTTTCCAATATTATTGTCTCTCTTCTAGTGTGCCAGAAAATCATCTATTATAGGCATTCAAGGGTACAAGAAATGCAACTGCAACAGAAAATGCCTTTTAACAAATTTGGCTGCATGAGGCATGGAATACTCTAATTCGAAATGTCATGACAGTTTGCTTTGTTCTAACAAATAGGAGATTGTCCATTTAAAAATGATGACAATAAAAATATTGTGTATACCCAACACTTTTGATGTGGAAGATATGTTTCTGAAAAAATTGTGTAAAAAGACCATATTTCAAAAAATATATTTCCTATAGTAAAATGGCAGATACTTTGCAAGTTATTAAAAACTGTGTAAGATGAAATAAATAACGATATTTCATTCAAAACATCATGTAAAATGTGACAAAAATTTTCACACGGTATAAACCTGTTTTGTCAGCATGCAAAATCTGGTCAGGAATAGAATATAGCCACCCTCTTATTATTTTGGCTAGTTTTTCTGGAAATCTTTTTGCAATGTTTTCATCTGCAGATGCAATTATCCCTTTAATTTTAATATTTTGAAATACATTTTTTTTAAAAATAAATCCTGTCAGCCATCCTTTACTAACAGAAAATTTCTTTTTTTTATGTTGAGTTGCTTGAAGACTTGTCGATGGTTCCAATTTTTGTAGGTTTTTATAAAGTCATAGTGCCTCATGCTTTATAATATTTCCACTGTATTTGCACCAAATCCTCAATCCAAAGCACCAAAAAAGTTTGTTTTTTCTAAGATGACATCTCTATTGTACAGTGATGTTTTTGAGCTTTTGAGCAATGATTTTCATATAGAATTCTGGTTTCTCTTAATTGTTCTGACAGTTGCTTCATTCAAGCCAAAACTTTTGCCCACAGATGTTGAATCTTTATCACTTAAAGCCCAAAGTTTTTATTTTTGTTTCTAACAAAATGGCTTTTTTTCCTTTCCTTTGTAATTTTAGACATTTTGAACTAGTAATCTACTGTAAAAATTATAATTAAAATATTTTAGTTAAACTTGTAAATTAGACATATTGCAAATTTGTAAAAAAATCATATCTATCTTTTTATTTTTTAATACTTTTAATAGCATGACATATGCACTTCACTCTAATGAAAATGTTATGAGTCAATGATACTTCAAAAATAAACTGATTGAATGATGCAATGCTTGAAAACCTTATGTGAACTAATAAATTACTTTTCATCAACTTACTTTCTTTTGTTTGTTTCAAAAAAAGACTTATGTGTACTTTATAATTTATTACTTCAACAGAAAAGGTTGTTATGTAAAATAACTTGTGACAATAATTAATTACATGTATTAACTACATTACCCACAAATATTGATTATTTGGTAAAATGACCAGTGATTATGCACAATAACCAATGTATTTAGATTAACTGTAACATATATATTGCTTGAATTTTTTATTTGTGTATGAATTAATATGATAGTATTGTTTAAAATGCAATATGTTAATGATGTATCTTTTATCATTGTAACCTTATTTAATAACAAAAAAAAACATGAAAAGCATCATCTGATTTGCATTACTTATCTATCTTACAGTGATATTTGAAACCTTTTATTTTGAATATAGTTTTATTTAATCTAGCAAACATGCATTGTTAGATTAAAAGTTATATATTACCCAAATATCATTGGTTATTATTGGTTTTAATATTTCCAGACATTTAAGTTATTCTATATTTTAATCATTAATATTTATTATAATGATACAAACAAAATAAATTTATTATTTTAGGCAGATGCAGTATTTGCTTTTCAATTAAGAAATCCTATCCATAATGGGCATGCATTACTGATGCAGCAAACTAGAGAAAGTTTATTAGAAAGAGGTTATAAAAAACCAGTTTTATTGCTTCATCCATTAGGTAATTAAATTACAATTACTTAATATCAATAACTTTTAAAAATAACAGTACTGAAAATTCATACTGATGACTTCAGAAACATTTAAAATTATTATTACGTCAAATTTGTTGCATAGTAACAAATACAAAATTGGATTATAATTTTATTATTAAGTAGTCATTAAACTAAAGTTGATTTTTAAATCATTTCTCAATTAAAAAATTATACTGTTTCTCTATATATTATTTGCTATGTTATGTTTTGACTTGTAGAGATTATTAATGAATACACATTAGAAAATTTAAAAAGTTAGAAATGTGCAAATTTAATGAAAGAAAAGAAATTTGTTAGTTTTTTTCTTCAATCATAAAAGAACTATTAGAATTTTATAATTAAAATATAATTAAAATGCAATCCAAAAAAGATGATAACTTTGTACAAATATTTTAGAATTTTTGTATTAAAACTTTAATAAAAAATTAATTTTGCTTTTACAAATTATAGGCAAGAATTTATTGCACTTCTTACCATTGCTTTTTATATTCTCTTGTATTTAATTTTATTTAAAACATTGACTTAAATGAATAAATTATTGAATTTAGGTGGCTGGACAAAAGAGGATGATGTCCCTCTTTCTGTAAGAATGGAACAACATCAAGCAGTATTAGAAGAAAAAATTTTAGATCCGGAAAATACTGTACTTGCTATATTTCCCTCACCAATGATGTATGCTGGACCAACAGAAGTTAGTACAATTGCCAGTTTTTACAGAATAAAGTAATTGATAAATTTTTAACATAACTTAATTTTTTTTATTAGGTACAATGGCATGCAAAGGCTAGAATGGCAACTGGAGCTAATTTTTATATTGTTGGAAGAGATCCTGCTGGGATGCCTCATCCTGATACTAAAAAAGATCTATATGAACCAAGTCATGGTGCTAAGGTAAATTTCATAAAAATTATTTATGATAATTATTCAAATAAAAATTATTTTTATAAAAGTATACTTATTTTCTTGGATAATACTTAAAATTAATAAAAGTATTTTTTGATGAAGTTGTTATTCAGGATATACCTAATTTAGAAAGTTTTAAATTTTTTTATCAGGTTCTTTATGGTAATATTATATGTTTGCAGTATAAATTTGCCAAATTTTTCATTGATTAGCTAATTAAAAATTATAAACAAAATCTGACTCTCTTAGTTTTTAATGAGTAAAATAAAGCTGCTTATGATACTACAGTGATCTGATATGATAGTAATTTAAAATTAGTCTTTATTTTAAAAAGTTCAATTTTAATAGTCAGTTTAATTATATAATAATAATAATTGATGCTTTACCCATGACTCTTTAGTTGTCCATCCCAAATGTTTCATGTTGCTTTAGGATGCACCCATATATATTACAATTTGTAATAATTTTTTAAACAGTATTAGTTATGCATACATTAATTAAATGACTATTAGATTTTTAAAATATTATTTGTAAAGAAAAATCTGTGATAATAGAAAATGAAATTTCTGTTATTTAAAATGTGAGGCAAAATAATTTAAAACTAAGCCAAACGATCACTGTAATTAATTAAAGTAATTTAAGAAAAAGTAAAAAAAAGTTAGAACAGGAGGTGGCACTTAAGCTAATCATTGAACAGACATTTATGGCAGTCTGAAGCATTGATTTTCTTGTAGGAGGCTAAAATATTTGATTTTTTGAGATTTCAGATTTTTCTGGTAATATACTCAATGCCCTCTTTCAAATACAGTATTTCATTTTTGTGTAAAAATGCTGCTTTACTCAAGCATTTTGTATGAGTGAGTGAGCCAGTCAGTAAGAGTGTAATGTAGCTTTATAATACAGTAGTTTAATAATATATATAATACAATATGATTTACATTAAATAGTTTAATACAGTGTTAGTTAATGTTAACAATGAGAACAATTTCTCTGTTGAGGGGGAATTTTACAAATAATTTGAGAAAAATACATCTAGGAATAGTAAATTTAAAATTTAAAAATATTAAATTACAAACCAAGAGTAGTTTAAGAATCATCTATGATAATAAAATGAAGACAATATACAAATTGTTCTAAATTTATACTGAATATTGATATGTCAATACAATTTAAAATGTGACAAGTTAAAAGAATTTGATTTGCCATTTCTTTTTACTGTAAATGATGGTTTTGAATTTCATTTCATGTATTAAAATATAAAATGCAAGAAATTTATTAAATCAAAATCCATACTGAAATTAATATGAATGCTTTGAGCAAATGGTTATTATTTATAATTTGTTTCTTAACTGAAACAAATGAAATTCTGAATTTGGAAATAAGAAAACTTTAAGGTATGAAGGTTTTTTCTTTTTATTTTTGCAGGTTTTAACAATGGCACCTGGTCTAACCCAATTAGAAATAATTCCCTTCAGAGTTGCAGCTTATAATAAAAACAAAAAACGAATGGAACTATTTGATGTTAATCGTAAAAATGAATTTGAATTTATTTCTGGTACATACATGAGGTCACTTGCACGCAATGGACAGACACCACCAGAAGGTTTTATGGCACCAAAGGCGTGGAACATTTTAGCTTCTTATTATAGATCACTTGTAACAAATGCTTAAACTGTGATTTGGAATTGAAGCATGCAGACAAACAATGCCCAAATTTAAAATAAAAACTAATAATAATAATAATAAAATTAAAATAGATATTAAACATTCAGTTCTGGTTAGCTGCTGAATGTTTTGATTACTATCAAAATTTTAAATAAAGAAAATTGATTATATATATTAGAATGTCTCTCGCCTCTTAACCATAATTTTTATCTTCCAGATTTCACAAAACGCATAACACAGCATTGCCTGTCTGCACACTTCATTTCAACAAAAACTAATTTTAAATAAGTCAAATACCACAATAAAAAAAATGCTGCTTTTTGACATCAAAATCGTGGACCAATAATTGTTTTATACTTGTTAAACATATAAATTAATTATAATTATTTCTACACATCTATAAATTTTATTAAAATTAAAAATTATACGAGCAATTTGTTATCTGCTCGCTATTTTGGGATATAATTCACTTGTATAAGCATTAAAGTTATATCCCCTTATCTATGTTTGATGTAATGAAGGAACATAGATTTTAAAATTAAACTGCTCAGATGCAGTTGTTATTTATTGTAAAAAAAAAAGAAAAAAAATACCAATACAAAATTAATAAAGTTGAGTTTATTGATTCATTTTTATATACTTATTCAATTACTAAATCAAACTGGTCTAATGCATGAATTAAATATACAAAAATATCAAATATTTATTAATGTAATCGTTTGAAATTTTTTTACATAATTTATTTTTTCAAAGGGTTATTTTTTTTAAAATTTATATTGTGTATTATCTTGTATTAAAATTTATTGGAAAATTGTCATTGGTTAGTAATTTCAGGTCAATTNAAACTAGGGAATTATTCCAGAAACTGTATTAGATACTGTGAAAGAGTTATTTGTACCTACAAATAGAGTTAGTTCAGCGCGTAAGGAAGCCGATGCTCTTCGAGGATTAGAAATCACAAAAGTTGATTTGCAATGGGTTCAAATTTTAAGTGAAGGATGGGCCACACCTTTATGTGGATTTATGAGAGAAAGAGAATTTTTGCAAAGTCAACATTTTGGTTGTCTTTTAGAAGGTATAAAAAAAATTAGCTGTCTGAACATAATATCATGAGAATGACCATTTTTTATTGTAATCTTAATAGGTGGTGTTGTGAACCAGTCTATACCTATAGTACTGGCTTTATCTAAAGAAGATAAAGAAAGACTTGAAGACTGTTCTGCATTTGCTCTTCGTTACAATGGAAAAAGTTATGCAATTTTGCGAAATCCTGAATTCTACGAACATAGAAAAGAGGAACGCTGTTCTAGACAGTTTGGAACATCAAATGAAGGTCATCCATATGTTAAGGTTTGAGTTTTAAATTTTTTTATTATTTTTAGTGTACTTGCATAAATGGAAATTATACATTTAAGATGCTACCATAATTTAAAATAAAATTTATAAGCTTTTATTCAATTGATTGTTAATTAGAATAGATTTGTCTGAAACCTTAATATTATTTTCTAAAACAGCTTTGATGAGGAAGACTTCCCTATAAATTTAATAATTAGATTTACCAACATATCTGTAATCTCAAGATATACTGATGTGAAACAGTTTGAATGAAACAACCTGAAAAATGTATTTTATTCAAATTGAATATATTCTGAAAAAGTTAATACAGACAATAATTTTTGTACCTAATTCTTAACTTTCTCAAATTGTAACTTGAAAGATTCACTCTGAACAGATTTACAGGAAGTAATTTTGTGAAATCTTTAATCAATACTGTAAGAATTCAATTTTTTCAGTCATGAATTTAATCTTTTCTTTAATCCAATGTCCAGAAAAAGGAAAATAATAGTTATAAGCAGCAATATAATACTAAAAAGTTAAATAATTAATCATAGAATAATAATTTTATGTAGAATATAGTTTTATTCTTACATTTAATAACACTAACAATTTTTCTTAGATGATATATGAAAGTGGTGATTGGTTAGTAGGTGGTGACTTAGAAGTCTTGGAACGTATCTGTTGGAATGATGGTCTTGATAAATATAGGCTGACTCCAAATGAATTAAGATCCAAATTCAAAAAGATGGGAGTAAGTTTTAAGCTATTTAAATTTCTAATTTATAAGTTTCTAAAATCTAAAGCCCACAATTATAAATTAAATGATACTGTCAGATTCATTATCCCATAACTTGGCTAGTTAACATGTAAATATGAAGTAATTTGACTAAAGATACAATTAAGTTGCATTTTTTATATTAAATTTAATGATTAGAATTAATTTATAATTCTTGCCTTAGTTTATTGTAGTTATAACTTATATAAATACTTAAACTCAAACAAAAATATCTAACCAGCATATCTCAAATTAACACATGTTTTTACTAATGTTTTAATCTGTTTATAAAGACATCTTCAGATATATATAACTCAGAACAAAGTGGACAAATTAAATTCGAACAAGGTTTTACAAACAAATTATAAATTCAGTTTAAAATTATTTTTCACATAAATAACTAATTAAGTTTAAATTTTCATTTATGTAAGTTTGTATCTGCATAGCCTAGTGAGATGTATATGAGAAAAAACTTTAAGGCTGTCTGTTTCTTTGAAATTAATTCCTACTCCACTTTTGAGTGCCCTATAGATTTCAATTGACTCCAGGTATTTAAGGCGTGTCTATCAGAAACCCTGTGTAGCAATCTTTTATCCTGTAGATTGACATATACAACTTTCACATCTGGCATAAGTGGCTAAGGCTGCAGATGAAAGTTTCTTTTTGATCATATATTCATGTTTTTTCATTCTCATAGTGAGACCCCATGCAGTCACACCAATTATGATTAAATTGATAAATCCAATGAATATGCATAATCACTGTGTATTCTGCATAATAAAACCAACAATTGGTGAATGATAAATTATTCATGTTTCTTAAAATTAATCATATTAACCTGTTATTATGAACAATACCTAGCACCCTCTGGTTAAAGTGATAAATTTCATATTTCTGCAAGTTTGAAAAGTAAAAGTGAAAAAAAGAGTGAAGATTCCATAAAAGTATTGCAGTCACAGGCAAAGAATATTAGACAAATGTCTGGCATAAAGTTTCCAAGGGAGCAAGATTGGAGACACTAAAAAAAAAACTGCAAGTTCCATGATGTTAACAAAGAAAGGGGTGACTCTAGGAACATTCAAGGGGTCATCCACAGATAGATGCTGATGGTAAGATATATGAGATTGGCTCAAAAGTATTCAAGGAACCAGTTTGTCATTTGTCAAAAGACTTCATCTTGTAAAATGAAAGTTTCCAATATTATTGTCTCTCTTCTAGTGTGCCAGAAAATCATCTATTATAGGCATTCAAGGGTACAAGAAATGCAACTGCAACAGAAAATGCCTTTTAACAAAATTGGCTGCATGAGGCATGGAATACTCTAATTCGAAATGTCATGACAGTTTGCTTTGTTCTAACAAATAGGAGATTGTCCATTTAAAAATGATGACAATAAAAATATTGTGTATACCCAACACTTTTGATGTGGAAGATATGTTTCTGAAAAAATTGTGTAAAAAGACCATATTTCAAAAAATATATTTCCTATAGTAAAATGGCAGATACTTTGCAAGTTATTAAAAACTGTGTAAGATGAAATAAATAACGATATTTCATTCAAAACATCATGTAAAATGTGACAAAAATTTTCACACGGTATAAACCTGTTTTGTCAGCATGCAAAATCTGGTCAGGAATAGAATATAGCCACCCTCTTATTATTTTGGCTAGTTTTTCTGGAAATCTTTTTGCAATGTTTTCATCTGCAGATGCAATTATCCCTTTAATTTTAATATTTTGAAATACATTTTTTTAAAAAATAAATCCTGTCAGCCATCCTTTACTAACAGAAAATTTCTTTTTTTTATGTTGAGTTGCTTGAAGACTTGTCGATGGTTCCAATTTTTGTAGGTTTTTATAAAGTCATAGTGCCTCATGCTTTATAATATTTCCACTGTATTTGCACCAAATCCTCAATCCAAAGCACCAAAAAAGTTTGTTTTTTCTAAGATGACATCTCTATTGTACAGTGATGTTTTTGAGCTTTTGAGCAATGATTTTCATATAGAATTCTGGTTTCTCTTAATTGTTCTGACAGTTGCTTCATTCAAGCCAAAACTTTTGCCCACAGATGTTGAATCTTTATCACTTAAAGCCCAAAGTTTTTATTTTTGTTTCTAACAAAATGGCTTTTTTTCCTTTCCTTTGTAATTTTAGACATTTTGAACTAGTAATCTACTGTAAAAATTATAATTAAAATATTTTAGTTAAACTTGTAAATTAGACATATTGCAAATTTGTAAAAAAATCATATCTATCTTTTTATTTTTTAATACTTTTAATAGCATGACATATGCACTTCACTCTAATGAAAATGTTATGAGTCAATGATACTTCAAAAATAAACTGATTGAATGATGCAATGCTTGAAAACCTTATGTGAACTAATAAATTACTTTTCATCAACTTACTTTCTTTTGTTTGTTTCAAAAAAAGACTTATGTGTACTTTATAATTTATTACTTCAACAGAAAAGGTTGTTATGTAAAATAACTTGTGACAATAATTAATTACATGTATTAACTACATTACCCACAAATATTGATTATTTGGTAAAATGACCAGTGATTATGCACAATAACCAATGTATTTAGATTAACTGTAACATATATATTGCTTGAATTTTTTATTTGTGTATGAATTAATATGATAGTATTGTTTAAAATGCAATATGTTAATGATGTATCTTTTATCATTGTAACCTTATTTAATAACAAAAAAAAACATGAAAAGCATCATCTGATTTGCATTACTTATCTATCTTACAGTGATATTTGAAACCTTTTATTTTGAATATAGTTTTATTTAATCTAGCAAACATGCATTGTTAGATTAAAAGTTATATATTACCCAAATATCATTGGTTATTATTGGTTTTAATATTTCCAGACATTTAAGTTATTCTATATTTTAATCATTAATATTTATTATAATGATACAAACAAAATAAATTTATTATTTTAGGCAGATGCAGTATTTGCTTTTCAATTAAGAAATCCTATCCATAATGGGCATGCATTACTGATGCAGCAAACTAGAGAAAGTTTATTAGAAAGAGGTTATAAAAAACCAGTTTTATTGCTTCATCCATTAGGTAATTAAATTACAATTACTTAATATCAATAACTTTTAAAAATAACAGTACTGAAAATTCATACTGATGACTTCAGAAACATTTAAAATTATTATTACGTCAAATTTGTTGCATAGTAACAAATACAAAATTGGATTATAATTTTATTATTAAGTAGTCATTAAACTAAAGTTGATTTTTAAATCATTTCTCAATTAAAAAATTATACTGTTTCTCTATATATTATTTGCTATGTTATGTTTTGACTTGTAGAGATTATTAATGAATACACATTAGAAAATTTAAAAAGTTAGAAATGTGCAAATTTAATGAAAGAAAAGAAATTTGTTAGTTTTTTTCTTCAATCATAAAAGAACTATTAGAATTTTATAATTAAAATATAATTAAAATGCAATCCAAAAAAGATGATAACTTTGTACAAATATTTTAGAATTTTTGTATTAAAACTTTAATAAAAAATTAATTTTGCTTTTACAAATTATAGGCAAGAATTTATTGCACTTCTTACCATTGCTTTTTATATTCTCTTGTATTTAATTTTATTTAAAACATTGACTTAAATGAATAAATTATTGAATTTAGGTGGCTGGACAAAAGAGGATGATGTCCCTCTTTCTGTAAGAATGGAACAACATCAAGCAGTATTAGAAGAAAAAATTTTAGATCCGGAAAATACTGTACTTGCTATATTTCCCTCACCAATGATGTATGCTGGACCAACAGAAGTTAGTACAATTGCCAGTTTTTACAGAATAAAGTAATTGATAAATTTTTAACATAACATAATTTTTTTTATTAGGTACAATGGCATGCAAAGGCTAGAATGGCAACTGGAGCTAATTTTTATATTGTTGGAAGAGATCCTGCTGGGATGCCTCATCCTGATACTAAAAAAGATCTATATGAACCAAGTCATGGTGCTAAGGTAAATTTCATAAAAATTATTTATGATAATTATTCAAATAAAAATTATTTTTATAAAAGTATACTTATTTTCTTGGATAATACTTAAAATTAATAAAAGTATTTTTTGATGAAGTTGTTATTCAGGATATACCTAATTTAGAAAGTTTTAAATTTTTTTATCAGGTTCTTTATGGTAATATTATATGTTTGCAGTATAAATTTGCCAAATTTTTCATTGATTAGCTAATTAAAAATTATAAACAAAATCTGACTCTCTTAGTTTTTAATGAGTAAAATAAAGCTGCTTATGATACTACAGTGATCTGATATGATAGTAATTTAAAATTAGTCTTTATTTTAAAAAGTTCAATTTTAATAGTCAGTTTAATTATATAATAATAATAATTGATGCTTTACCCATGACTCTTTAGTTGTCCATCCCAAATGTTTCATGTTGCTTTAGGATGCACCCATATATATTACAATTTGTAATAATTTTTTAAACAGTATTAGTTATGCATACATTAATTAAATGACTATTAGATTTTTAAAATATTATTTGTAAAGAAAAATCTGTGATAATAGAAAATGAAATTTCTGTTATTTAAAATGTGAGGCAAAATAATTTAAAACTAAGCCAAACGATCACTGTAATTAATTAAAGTAATTTAAGAAAAAGTAAAAAAAAGTTAGAACAGGAGGTGGCACTTAAGCTAATCATTGAACAGACATTTATGGCAGTCTGAAGCATTGATTTTCTTGTAGGAGGCTAAAATATTTGATTTTTTGAGATTTCAGATTTTTCTGGTAATATACTCAATGCCCTCTTTCAAATACAGTATTTCATTTTTTGTGTAAAAATGCTGCTTTACTCAAGCATTTTGTATGAGTGAGTGAGCCAGTCAGTAAGAGTGTAATGTAGCTTTATAATACAGTAGTTTAATAATATATATAATACAATATGATTTACATTAAATAGTTTAATACAGTGTTAGTTAATGTTAACAATAGAGAACAATTTCTCTGTTGAGGGGGAATTTTACAAATAATTTGAGAAAAATACATCTAGGAATAGTAAATTTAAAATTTAAAAATATTAAATTACAAACCAAGAGTAGTTTAAGAATCATCTATGATAATAAAATGAAGACAATATACAAATTGTTCTAAATTTATACTGAATATTGATATGTCAATACAATTTAAAATGTGACAAGTTAAAAGAATTTGATTTGCCATTTCTTTTTACTGTAAATGATGGTTTTGAATTTCATTTCATGTATTAAAATATAAAATGCAAGAAATTTATTAAATCAAAATCCATACTGAAATTAATATGAATGCTTTGAGCAAATGGTTATTATTTATAATTTGTTTCTTAACTGAAACAAATGAAATTCTGAATTTGGAAATAAGAAAACTTTAAGGTATGAAGGTTTTTTCTTTTTATTTTTGCAGGTTTTAACAATGGCACCTGGTCTAACCCAATTAGAAATAATTCCCTTCAGAGTTGCAGCTTATAATAAAAACAAAAAACGAATGGAACTATTTGATGTTAATCGTAAAAATGAATTTGAATTTATTTCTGGTACATACATGAGGTCACTTGCACGCAATGGACAGACACCACCAGAAGGTTTTATGGCACCAAAGGCGTGGAACATTTTAGCTTCTTATTATAGATCACTTGTAACAAATGCTTAAACTGTGATTTGGAATTGAAGCATGCAGACAAACAATGCCCAAATTTAAAATAAAAACTAATAATAATAATAATAAAATTAAAATAGATATTAAACATTCAGTTCTGGTTAGCTGCTGAATGTTTTGATTACTATCAAAATTTTAAATAAAGAAAATTGATTATATATATTAGAATGTCTCTCGCCTCTTAACCATAATTTTTATCTTCCAGATTTCACAAAACGCATAACACAGCATTGCCTGTCTGCACACTTCATTTCAACAAAAACTAATTTTAAATAAGTCAAATACCACAATAAAAAAAATGCTGCTTTTTGACATCAAAATCGTGGACCAATAATTGTTTTATACTTGTTAAACATATAAATTAATTATAATTATTTCTACACATCTATAAATTTTATTAAAATTAAAAATTATACGAGCAATTTGTTATCTGCTCGCTATTTTGGGATATAATTCACTTGTATAAGCATTAAAGTTATATCCCCTTATCTATGTTTGATGTAATGAAGGAACATAGATTTTAAAATTAAACTGCTCAGATGCAGTTGTTATTTATTGTAAAAAAAAAAGAAAAAAAATACCAATACAAAATTAATAAAGTTGAGTTTATTGATTCATTTTTATATACTTATTCAATTACTAAATCAAACTGGTCTAATGCATGAATTAAATATACAAAAATATCAAATATTTATTAATGTAATCGTTTGAAATTTTTTTACATAATTTATTTTTTCAAAGGGTTATTTTTTTTAAAATTTATATTGTGTATTATCTTGTATTAAAATTTATTGGAAAATTGTCATTGGTTAGTAATTTCAGGTCAATTTTTGGAAAAAGAATGTTTTTAAATACATAGTAGCTTTATTATATTAAACAGATTTTTAATAATAATAATATATGTAATAATATCATTATATATCATGAGTAAATAAACAGATAATCATGAATTGGACTGTTAGAAAAACTTTTGTTGTTACTTTCATATTAAAAATTAAAATTATTGTTAAAAATATAAATGGATATTAAGTAAGGGAGGAAGAAACAAAATCTATACAAAAATCAACTTCTCTGTTTTTATTACATGATTTCATAGTCATATCTATAAAGCAGTTTATCATCAGTGAAGTGGATGACCAGATGGTGAATGAAAGGTAACATTTAATCTGATTACAACTTAAATGAACGTTGTTCACATAGTGAATGGTGAGTTTTATTGAATTTCTTGTATTAATAATATAATTTTTATTATACAAATTGTACAGCTGAATTTATATATTGTATTTATCCAAATATGACTTCTTTTCCAAAATTCAGCCAAACCTCTTTTACGAATATTTTACCTTATTTAGGTTTTTATTTTTTGTTCTTATAGATAATGAATGCCTTTAAGGCCTGAGTTAACCCCAAATTTAAATTAAATAAGTTCATTAAAAGTTTTTAATTTCTAAACAATGTAACTAGATACAAAAATAAGGTGGTTATTAAATTACAATATATATTATGAATATTTGGTGCAATCTATGAAAGTCAGAAAAGTAAATATTTTGCTGTAGAGCAAAAAATATAATCAAAATCAAAAGTTGATTTTTAGATTTCGATGCTAGATGTTTCTAGTAGTGTTTGGCTAGCTATAAATAACCTCTAAAATATTCCTCTTAATCTGTATAATATGTACTTGAAAAATGAGAATTGATTTTCCTGACTTAACATACCTTTTTTACAGATTGCATCTCATACACAATTTGTATGATCATTTTTATTTTTATTATTAATATATACATAAGTAAAACTACAAAAGAGTTATTTGTATAAAACCTTCTCATGAATGTTTTAAAAACTGTGAAGGTTAAGTTGTAAAGAATATTCTATATTTTTTAAGTGAAACATCAAAAACAAATTAGATAATCAAAACTGATTTGTTTTTAATATCTTATTATAATTCAGAATTATTGTTCTTACTTGAATTATGAACTAAATCACTTGAAAATTCCATGTCCCTTTATTATACTATAATACATCATTTGCACTTCCATTTAGTTATTTGAAATGCTTCACTTTTTGAATGTGTTTACAATGACTTTTAATATAATTTACAGACAAGGTATTATCCATTCATAAAGCAATGAACATTCAATTTCTTGATAGTTTTGTTTTTAGGGCAATTATCTTTCATACTTCACTCATTCTATCTTTACAAGGTTTTGATGAACTTTTAGTTAGAAATTATCTTGCAGTTTTAATAACTAAACCAGTATTTAAATTCATTGACAAAAAAGTTATAATTAAGGATGAGGCATTGGGAATCAAACAAAACTTTATTAGTGCAAATATAATGATGTTGATAGTGATCACAATATTAGAGCAAAGGGACAATTTTCTGTGGAACATTAGTGTAATTTAAAAGAACCTTTAGTAATTTGTAGGACCACCTCTTGTCTTGATACACGCAACAATACAGTTGGGCAAGGGAGTATCCAGGCATTGTTTGCTATTCTGTAACAGATTTGATCACAGATGTTCCAAATCCATTGTATTGATACTTGTAGATGGCTAAGCTGGGCATTTCATCTGGTTCCACAAATGTTCAGTAGATGACAAATTTGTAGACTGCAGGTCATGGAAGTATGGCAACATTCCTGGGAAAGCCTAACTCTGTCCAAGCATTATTTTGCTGGAAAATGGTTGTTTGCAGCCCTGCCATGAAAGGAAACACATCAGGATATGCCATCAAGGGCTCTACCACTATTAGTGGTTGTCAACTGTCATTCCAAATGGCTCCCAGACCATCATGCTAGTATTGGTGACAGTCTGCCATTTAACAGCAAAGACAAAATTGAAATAAAACTAAAAAAAAAAAAAAAAACAAGGATCTTATACTTGGATAAATACTATATTTTAATATATATATATAATAATTTTATATATTTCTAATTTAAAATTTCAGGAAATAAAATTTATATCAGAAAGAAGAATGATTGTTTTACATGTCATTGCAAGTTTTGTGGTGATTATAGTATTTTTTGCTGGAATTTTTGGTAATTTAATGGTATGTGTGATATTCTTCAGAAGTCGCTTATTTTACACACACAAAAACTCCCTCCACATCAGTTTAGCAGTCGCCGATTGTATATCATGCTGTTTTAATTCATCTCTATGTTTAGCTTCCATTGTTATAGGCCCTAAATCATCATTGAATTCTGCCTTATGCCAAACTCAAGTTACAATTTATACAATAGTCTATACCATTAATTTAGTGACATTAGCAACCATCTGCATCTTACGAACTTTAATTTTACTGTATTCAAGAAAGAGAGTACCAAAAAAGCTGACTTATACATTTATTATTATTTCTTGGCTGATGGGTATTTTATTGAGTATTCTTAGTAATACACTATTTGAAGATGATTTCTATGAAATGTGTGCATCAGTGGATATAAAAACTGGAAAACTTAATTTTGGGAGATTGATAGGTGTTCCAATCGTCATCATTTGTTTTGTAATTATTTTGAGCTGTTATTTCATTGTTTTAAGGAAGAGATTTAAAGAAAATGTTCTTAGGATTTATCCTGTACTGGGAGATGCAATCAAATACCAGGTAATTCTCTGTATATTTATTACTTAATTATTCATTTAGAATTCTTTCTTTATATTTACTTATACTCTTCCAATTTCAGATAACATCTTCAGTTAAAGATCCAGTAGTTCTTCATTCAAATATGACAAGTATCCACACAACATTAATCTTGGGTTTGATACTATTTATATCTTATTTACCTCTAACTCTTCTGACGTTTATTCCACCAGAACGAATGGAAGACAGGCATTCTTGGTTTCTTTTTGCTTTTTCTATTTCGTTAGTAATGAGTATGTTAAATCCTTATGTTTATAGTTTAAGATGTGCTGCTTTTCAGAAAGAAGTTGCTAAATTAACAAAGTTTACATTCTGTTGTAAAAAATAGAATTAAATAATTACTTTTCAATAACATTTTAAGAAATATATGGCAAACCTTTATATTTTAATTATGTTGGGATTACAAAAAACTGGGATTTTTTTTCTAATATTAATTTTTCTTTTGTAAATAGTTTTCCAAAAGTACCAGATTTCCTTACTTGATATTGATAATATCTTTTGGAATATACAATAATAATATGTGGAAACCATAAGCATTTTTCCACATATTAATATAATAATAATAATAATTTGTAAAAGTATGGATGATTGCATCCAAATTGTTTTTATTCATCACTTACACTGACTGACTATTCATGCTATAAATTATCAGCCTAATGCCACAAGAGATGTGAGTTTGAACATTATCTGGATCCTTGATTTTTCATGAATACTGTGAATTGGAAAGTCATTTTTTCACCCTTTGCCTACATGGTTCCCATCACTGACTTTAATGCTGATCATGTTCGCTCAAAATGGGCATAATTGAGTTTGGCCACAGTCTACAGTCCATCGATTCTTTGTATTAATAGATCATTTTAAACCATTGCATCTGTTAATGTTCTTTAAGATATTATGTAGAAAAGATACACGAAAAGAAATAAATTTATTTAATTGTAATTTTAAAGTACAAAACAAATAGTTTCATCTATTTAACCTATTTAAAGTTCTGAGTTAGCTTTAAAATGCAATAAGTAAGAAACACAGATTTAATCCATTTATACTTTTCAAATATTTGTTCATAAACTAATATAGCATTATTAAGTCTAAGAATAGTATTAACCTAATTTGATTGAAGTTTGAGGTTTGCTACTTTTGTAACATATACATAAGAAATATTTGGATGAATATTAAATTTCAAAAATCTCTTTTAATACAAATAACCAATTAGCTACTTAAATTGTGTTTTAACACAAAATAATACTTTACACAACAAAATTTACCCCCATTCACAGAGCCAAATTATTTTGTTTAACAATATTATACATATATTCATATAAATTGCAAAGCGTGAAACTTAATGTATAAATCAACAATTACAAATGTTACACCATTTAAAATTTGAATACATTGCTAATTAAAGTAATGTTAGAAGTAGTGTTGGATATTTAAATTATTTAGTCTAAATCTGACTGATAAATATGTTACATCAATTACCATATTTAGTTGGAAATAGGTTAAAATTAGTTTTAAAAGTTACATATTTCATTATATACTCCTTTTGGAAATACTTGAGTAGACAAATTAATACCATTAAAGATTTTTCTTTGTGTGTTTGCATTCTTTGTAACAGTACCCTATGTAATATAGACGGTCCTTATTATTATTATTGTAAATAGAAAGAAGTGGGATATTTTGCAAGATACTTTAAGTAGCCATCACATTAATATTCTGTAATAATCTCTAGAAAATCCTAGAAATCTAGTACTTTTACTAAAATTTATGACATCAATTAAGTTGGTGGATAAGATAATCTTAGTAACACTCAGATTTTATCATATTATCGTTTCGCTTTCATTTGAAATTCTTATCTGGAATCAACCTGTTACATTTTATCGAAAGTATCAGGTCCATGCATTTCTACTTAACACGAGAAACACTTAACGATGTTTCCGGTGTTAACTTAGATTTTTTTTTTCTCTTTTTAAACTCTAGCCTTGGGCTGTAAGAAGGCATCTTATTAGCAAGTCCATTATGGGTTCGGCTAGGCCCACAGTGGGGGCGAGAGGTGAGGGAAGGATAATGGTAACAATTTAACCTTTATACTGTACATATAAATAAAATTCCATTGAAAGATACATACCAACATATATTATTTTTAGTCAGACTTTTTGTAGTAAATCTGAAATATTTTGTCTATTGGGCTATTTTCAAAATTAGCTTCGCCTTGAATAAATTAATGTACTGTAAATCTATTTCACAGAATTGGTTGACTTTAATATTGGGGATGGCACAGAGTGTAACGTCAGCATGAAGGTGTCTAAAAATTGTGGCCCGGATTCACGAAAGCGTCGCTAATTACAACGTCGTATTCTCGCGACGTAGTTAATTACGACAAATTTACGACAAAACACCGGTGATTGGTCGGATGGCCGAGCGGTCAAGATGGCAGTTCTGGGGGACCCGGGATCGAATCCGGTCGGGCCAAGGAAACCCCAGGAATTTTTCGGGGGGTGGTCCGTTCGGATATGTCCCTCACCACCGTCCCTCACTACCCGGTCGCCCCATGCGGGCCTGGCCGACCCCATAATAGGCCTGCTATAAGAGGCCCTCTTAGTGCCCACAGAGCGGAGAGTATATAAAAAAAAGGTCACAAATACAGTAATACCGAACAACAACACAAATTTTATTTTCACAAATTTAATTATTGTCATTATGTATTCAAAATATAACATTAAATCGGGCTCCAAAACTGTTCAGTACGGTTCATGAATGAACGTCTAGCAACGTTGCTATATCAGTTACTAGATAATATGATTGGGTACAAAACGAAATTTTCGTCTAGAGACACTTGCTCGCTAGGAGCACTTCTGCTAGGATACAGTATGACCAATCTTTCGTGAAAACTCCCTAAACGGACCCGAAATTCCCTTTAAAACTAACAGAAACAGAGTTCCCCTAAAAAGTGAAACAGGTTCTCCTTAAATAGTTTTGCTCCAAGTGCAATGAATATCAATAAAAGTATTAGTCGTTTGACAATCCAGAGAAACGAATTTTCACTTTAGGGCGTAGACACGGGTGAGCAAAAGCATCACGCGATGAAGCGACCTGAGCCATGGTCACCTAGATATCTACCAGGCCTGAATCTGACGTATCGTGACGTTACAGGAAGAATTCGTGTTGTAAATAACTATTCCGTCTAAAATACGCTTTATGAGGATAAAAATTCATGTTTCGTCAACATTATCATGAAAAAATAGTTTAAATAGCACTAATTTGATATCGGATTTTAATAATACTAGAGCTAATTTCTTTTAATTCGAGAATTTTTATACCTGTATTAAAAATATAATAAATAACTCAAGCCTTTATTTTTAAATCTCAAAACAATAAACTGTATTATAACAAAGATANAAGTTATTCTATATTTTAATCATTAATATTTATTATAATGATACAAACAAAATAAATTTATTATTTTAGGCAGATGCAGTATTTGCTTTTCAATTAAGAAATCCTATCCATAATGGGCATGCATTACTGATGCAGCAAACTAGAGAAAGTTTATTAGAAAGAGGTTATAAAAAACCAGTTTTATTGCTTCATCCATTAGGTAATTAAATTACAATTACTTAATATCAATAACTTTTAAAAATAACAGTACTGAAAATTCATACTGATGACTTCAGAAACATTTAAAATTATTATTACGTCAAATTTGTTGCATAGTAACAAATACAAAATTGGATTATAATTTTATTATTAAGTAGTCATTAAACTAAAGTTGATTTTTAAATCATTTCTCAATTAAAAAATTATACTGTTTCTCTATATATTATTTGCTATGTTATGTTTTGACTTGTAGAGATTATTAATGAATACACATTAGAAAATTTAAAAAGTTAGAAATGTGCAAATTTAATGAAAGAAAAGAAATTTGTTAGTTTTTTTCTTCAATCATAAAAGAACTATTAGAATTTTATAATTAAAATATAATTAAAATGCAATCCAAAAAAGATGATAACTTTGTACAAATATTTTAGAATTTTTGTATTAAAACTTTAATAAAAAATTAATTTTGCTTTTACAAATTATAGGCAAGAATTTATTGCACTTCTTACCATTGCTTTTTATATTCTCTTGTATTTAATTTTATTTAAAACATTGACTTAAATGAATAAATTATTGAATTTAGGTGGCTGGACAAAAGAGGATGATGTCCCTCTTTCTGTAAGAATGGAACAACATCAAGCAGTATTAGAAGAAAAAATTTTAGATCCGGAAAATACTGTACTTGCTATATTTCCCTCACCAATGATGTATGCTGGACCAACAGAAGTTAGTACAATTGCCAGTTTTTACAGAATAAAGTAATTGATAAATTTTTAACATAACTTAATTTTTTTTATTAGGTACAATGGCATGCAAAGGCTAGAATGGCAACTGGAGCTAATTTTTATATTGTTGGAAGAGATCCTGCTGGGATGCCTCATCCTGATACTAAAAAAGATCTATATGAACCAAGTCATGGTGCTAAGGTAAATTTCATAAAAATTATTTATGATAATTATTCAAATAAAAATTATTTTTATAAAAGTATACTTATTTTCTTGGATAATACTTAAAATTAATAAAAGTATTTTTTGATGAAGTTGTTATTCAGGATATACCTAATTTAGAAAGTTTTAAATTTTTTTATCAGGTTCTTTATGGTAATATTATATGTTTGCAGTATAAATTTGCCAAATTTTTCATTGATTAGCTAATTAAAAATTATAAACAAAATCTGACTCTCTTAGTTTTTAATGAGTAAAATAAAGCTGCTTATGATACTACAGTGATCTGATATGATAGTAATTTAAAATTAGTCTTTATTTTAAAAAGTTCAATTTTAATAGTCAGTTTAATTATATAATAATAATAATTGATGCTTTACCCATGACTCTTTAGTTGTCCATCCCAAATGTTTCATGTTGCTTTAGGATGCACCCATATATATTACAATTTGTAATAATTTTTTAAACAGTATTAGTTATGCATACATTAATTAAATGACTATTAGATTTTTAAAATATTATTTGTAAAGAAAAATCTGTGATAATAGAAAATGAAATTTCTGTTATTTAAAATGTGAGGCAAAATAATTTAAAACTAAGCCAAACGATCACTGTAATTAATTAAAGTAATTTAAGAAAAAGTAAAAAAAAGTTAGAACAGGAGGTGGCACTTAAGCTAATCATTGAACAGACATTTATGGCAGTCTGAAGCATTGATTTTCTTGTAGGAGGCTAAAATATTTGATTTTTTGAGATTTCAGATTTTTCTGGTAATATACTCAATGCCCTCTTTCAAATACAGTATTTCATTTTTGTGTAAAAATGCTGCTTTACTCAAGCATTTTGTATGAGTGAGTGAGCCAGTCAGTAAGAGTGTAATGTAGCTTTATAATACAGTAGTTTAATAATATATATAATACAATATGATTTACATTAAATAGTTTAATACAGTGTTAGTTAATGTTAACAATGAGAACAATTTCTCTGTTGAGGGGGAATTTTACAAATAATTTGAGAAAAATACATCTAGGAATAGTAAATTTAAAATTTAAAAATATTAAATTACAAACCAAGAGTAGTTTAAGAATCATCTATGATAATAAAATGAAGACAATATACAAATTGTTCTAAATTTATACTGAATATTGATATGTCAATACAATTTAAAATGTGACAAGTTAAAAGAATTTGATTTGCCATTTCTTTTTACTGTAAATGATGGTTTTGAATTTCATTTCATGTATTAAAATATAAAATGCAAGAAATTTATTAAATCAAAATCCATACTGAAATTAATATGAATGCTTTGAGCAAATGGTTATTATTTATAATTTGTTTCTTAACTGAAACAAATGAAATTCTGAATTTGGAAATAAGAAAACTTTAAGGTATGAAGGTTTTTTCTTTTTATTTTTGCAGGTTTTAACAATGGCACCTGGTCTAACCCAATTAGAAATAATTCCCTTCAGAGTTGCAGCTTATAATAAAAACAAAAAACGAATGGAACTATTTGATGTTAATCGTAAAAATGAATTTGAATTTATTTCTGGTACATACATGAGGTCACTTGCACGCAATGGACAGACACCACCAGAAGGTTTTATGGCACCAAAGGCGTGGAACATTTTAGCTTCTTATTATAGATCACTTGTAACAAATGCTTAAACTGTGATTTGGAATTGAAGCATGCAGACAAACAATGCCCAAATTTAAAATAAAAACTAATAATAATAATAATAAAATTAAAATAGATATTAAACATTCAGTTCTGGTTAGCTGCTGAATGTTTTGATTACTATCAAAATTTTAAATAAAGAAAATTGATTATATATATTAGAATGTCTCTCGCCTCTTAACCATAATTTTTATCTTCCAGATTTCACAAAACGCATAACACAGCATTGCCTGTCTGCACACTTCATTTCAACAAAAACTAATTTTAAATAAGTCAAATACCACAATAAAAAAAATGCTGCTTTTTGACATCAAAATCGTGGACCAATAATTGTTTTATACTTGTTAAACATATAAATTAATTATAATTATTTCTACACATCTATAAATTTTATTAAAATTAAAAATTATACGAGCAATTTGTTATCTGCTCGCTATTTTGGGATATAATTCACTTGTATAAGCATTAAAGTTATATCCCCTTATCTATGTTTGATGTAATGAAGGAACATAGATTTTAAAATTAAACTGCTCAGATGCAGTTGTTATTTATTGTAAAAAAAAAAGAAAAAAAATACCAATACAAAATTAATAAAGTTGAGTTTATTGATTCATTTTTATATACTTATTCAATTACTAAATCAAACTGGTCTAATGCATGAATTAAATATACAAAAATATCAAATATTTATTAATGTAATCGTTTGAAATTTTTTTACATAATTTATTTTTTCAAAGGGTTATTTTTTTTAAAATTTATATTGTGTATTATCTTGTATTAAAATTTATTGGAAAATTGTCATTGGTTAGTAATTTCAGGTCAATTTTTGGAAAAAGAATGTTTTTAAATACATAGTAGCTTTATTATATTAAACAGATTTTTAATAATAATAATATATGTAATAATATCATTATATATCATGAGTAAATAAACAGATAATCATGAATTGGACTGTTAGAAAAACTTTTGTTGTTACTTTCATATTAAAAATTAAAATTATTGTTAAAAATATAAATGGATATTAAGTAAGGGAGGAAGAAACAAAATCTATACAAAAATCAACTTCTCTGTTTTTATTACATGATTTCATAGTCATATCTATAAAGCAGTTTATCATCAGTGAAGTGGATGACCAGATGGTGAATGAAAGGTAACATTTAATCTGATTACAACTTAAATGAACGTTGTTCACATAGTGAATGGTGAGTTTTATTGAATTTCTTGTATTAATAATATAATTTTTATTATACAAATTGTACAGCTGAATTTATATATTGTATTTATCCAAATATGACTTCTTTTCCAAAATTCAGCCAAACCTCTTTTACGAATATTTTACCTTATTTAGGTTTTTATTTTTTGTTCTTATAGATAATGAATGCCTTTAAGGCCTGAGTTAACCCCAAATTTAAATTAAATAAGTTCATTAAAAGTTTTTAATTTCTAAACAATGTAACTAGATACAAAAATAAGGTGGTTATTAAATTACAATATATATTATGAATATTTGGTGCAATCTATGAAAGTCAGAAAAGTAAATATTTTGCTGTAGAGCAAAAAATATAATCAAAATCAAAAGTTGATTTTTAGATTTCGATGCTAGATGTTTCTAGTAGTGTTTGGCTAGCTATAAATAACCTCTAAAATATTCCTCTTAATCTGTATAATATGTACTTGAAAAATGAGAATTGATTTTCCTGACTTAACATACCTTTTTTACAGATTGCATCTCATACACAATTTGTATGATCATTTTTATTTTTATTATTAATATATACATAAGTAAAACTACAAAAGAGTTATTTGTATAAAACCTTCTCATGAATGTTTTAAAAACTGTGAAGGTTAAGTTGTAAAGAATATTCTATATTTTTTAAGTGAAACATCAAAAACAAATTAGATAATCAAAACTGATTTGTTTTTAATATCTTATTATAATTCAGAATTATTGTTCTTACTTGAATTATGAACTAAATCACTTGAAAATTCCATGTCCCTTTATTATACTATAATACATCATTTGCACTTCCATTTAGTTATTTGAAATGCTTCACTTTTTGAATGTGTTTACAATGACTTTTAATATAATTTACAGACAAGGTATTATCCATTCATAAAGCAATGAACATTCAATTTCTTGATAGTTTTGTTTTTAGGGCAATTATCTTTCATACTTCACTCATTCTATCTTTACAAGGTTTTGATGAACTTTTAGTTAGAAATTATCTTGCAGTTTTAATAACTAAACCAGTATTTAAATTCATTGACAAAAAAGTTATAATTAAGGATGAGGCATTGGGAATCAAACAAAACTTTATTAGTGCAAATATAATGATGTTGATAGTGATCACAATATTAGAGCAAAGGGACAATTTTCTGTGGAACATTAGTGTAATTTAAAAGAACCTTTAGTAATTTGTAGGACCACCTCTTGTCTTGATACACGCAACAATACAGTTGGGCAAGGGAGTATCCAGGCATTGTTTGCTATTCTGTAACAGATTTGATCACAGATGTTCCAAATCCATTGTATTGATACTTGTAGATGGCTAAGCTGGGCATTTCATCTGGTTCCACAAATGTTCAGTAGATGACAAATTTGTAGACTGCAGGTCATGGAAGTATGGCAACATTCCTGGGAAAGCCTAACTCTGTCCAAGCATTATTTTGCTGGAAAATGGTTGTTTGCAGCCCTGCCATGAAAGGAAACACATCAGGATATGCCATCAAGGGCTCTACCACTATTAGTGGTTGTCAACTGTCATTCCAAATGGCTCCCAGACCATCATGCTNAACGTCAGCATGAAGGTGTCTAAAAATTGTGGCCCGGATTCACGAAAGCGTCGCTAATTACAACGTCGTATTCTCGCGACGTAGTTAATTACGACAAATTTACGACAAAACACCGGTGATTGGTCGGATGGCCGAGCGGTCAAGATGGCAGTTCTGGGGGACCCGGGATCGAATCCGGTCGGGCCAAGGAAACCCCAGGAATTTTTCGGGGGGTGGTCCGTTCGGATATGTCCCTCACCACCGTCCCTCACTACCCGGTCGCCCCATGCGGGCCTGGCCGACCCCATAATAGGCCTGCTATAAGAGGCCCTCTTAGTGCCCACAGAGCGGAGAGTATATAAAAAAAAGGTCACAAATACAGTAATACCGAACAACAACACAAATTTTATTTTCACAAATTTAATTATTGTCATTATGTATTCAAAATATAACATTAAATCGGGCTCCAAAACTGTTCAGTACGGTTCATGAATGAACGTCTAGCAACGTTGCTATATCAGTTACTAGATAATATGATTGGGTACAAAACGAAATTTTCGTCTAGAGACACTTGCTCGCTAGGAGCACTTCTGCTAGGATACAGTATGACCAATCTTTCGTGAAAACTCCCTAAACGGACCCGAAATTCCCTTTAAAACTAACAGAAACAGAGTTCCCCTAAAAAGTGAAACAGGTTCTCCTTAAATAGTTTTGCTCCAAGTGCAATGAATATCAATAAAAGTATTAGTCGTTTGACAATCCAGAGAAACGAATTTTCACTTTAGGGCGTAGACACGGGTGAGCAAAAGCATCACGCGATGAAGCGACCTGAGCCATGGTTACCTAGATATCTACCAGGCCTGAATCTGACGTATCGTGACGTTACAGGAAGAATTCGTGTTGTAAATAACTATTCCGTCTAAAATACGCTTTATGAGGATAAAAATTCATGTTTCGTCAACATTATCATGAAAAAATAGTTTAAATAGCACTAATTTGATATCGGATTTTAATAATACTAGAGCTAATTTCTTTTAATTCGAGAATTTTTATACCTGTATTAAAAATATAATAAATAACTCAAGCCTTTATTTTTAAATCTCAAAACAATAAACTGTATTATAACAAAGATACGTGAACTTTATAAATTATGCTTTAACGACTTTACAAATTTATATTTAGTAATGCATTTTTATTATAATTATTTAATCTTTTAACTAAAATTCAAAAATTTTTTTCGAAAATAACAGAAATAACCTTGCATATATATTGAAAATTCTTTTCGTACACTGCATATAGGTTTTTACTAAAATACAATTTATTGCAATATACAAGACTTACTGAAATGATGTTTTTAAGAAAATATAATTTAAAATAAAATAATATTTAGTTTACATAGGTGTTTGATTAATCTGTGGTGGGCAATAAAACTGAAATGAACTATTATATTTAATTTTTCCACTTATCTGCGTGTAGAAACATCGATATAAATATTAATTTATATAAAAGTAATTAATAGACAAATATAAAATTATATATTGCAATAAGAATCAGCGGAAATTTATTAAGTTAACTTATAAGAAAATCAATACAAGTGTAGAATGAAATGTTGCAATAATTCACACGTCTGTCTCTCTCACTTTTAGCATACTGCATTTCTAAACACATTCTTAACATCATTATAAAATACAAATTTACATTTATGTTGCAAACTCCTTTTTAAATGTATAGCAATACAAATTTTTATATATAACAGACTAAAAACTGTATACGTGTTTACATTAAACCCATACACAGTATATATTAATCCTGTATTAGTTATTTTAATGTTTATTACCAAATACAGTACAATAAGCACACTTCTGTTGTATCTTTCAAAATATTAAAACTTTATATAAATAAGTTTTACTATGTAATATAATACAACTAAATATAAAAAGAAACCAAATACTGTATACTTATGTGTTATTAATTAACGCCCAATCGAAAAGAAACAGGTAGACTATATAAATTCTTATTAAAATTTATAGTTTAGCCTATTTGTTCTCGTTTGGACATTACTTAGGCGACGTTATTAATTGAAAATATGTATTTTTTGGGGGGCATTGTATATAATACTTTAATTAAACTCTTTAAGGAAATGATAGTAACTTTATATGTTCACTTTATATATAAATTTTCACGGAGACACAATAAAACTTTATTTCTCACTCGCTTGGAAAAGTGGCCTTTCCCGAGATGAATTCTTGCGCGAGAACAGTCACTAGTCATGTGACTTTTAGAAGATCCTATTCGTAGTCGAAACTGCGTTAATTTAACCAATAGGAACATTTTACATTTTCTTCCTAAACTCTCCGTATAATTTTTTTTTCATTTTAAAAAATAATTTAATACCTTCTGCAACCTCCAAAATCATAATAATGCTGTGTAAAATATATATTAAAATTGCCTTTGAATTGAGTAGAAAATTTAAAGAAAAAAATGAACTTAGATCAAATTTCTAAGGTAATTTTCGTTTTTTTAAATAAAACATAATATAAAAATTTACAATAATATTGTATAAGATTTTGAAAACCAAAGATGATCAATACTCTGATCACTCAACCTGGTTATTATTTTAATAATGAAAAAAGTCCCGCTACTGAAAATGCCCTTTCCAATTCAATGGATGTGGGTTGAATCGTGTTTAATGCATTTAAGAGAAGACAAATGTTATCGAAGATTTCTAGTTCGTTTTCGAGTACTTCTTTTGCTCTCTAGTATTCTCGATTTGTCTACCGCGGCTGATTTAATAGCGGTATCGAGCTTATAGCCCGATAATTCGGCAGTCCGTTTGGCTTTAATAATCAGATTTATGAAGAAAACTTCGTACTTGCAGACTTCGTACTCGTTTCTATCCTCTCCCAATTCGCGCAACCTGGCATAATGCAGTTATCGAAGCTACTGGGCATTGTTAAAATTAAGACTGCATCGGCGCAATTATTCAAGATATTACATGTTCTGACAAGTAAAGAATTTTCAGAGTCCTGCCACAAATACATATTGATTATTGAAAATCTGTGGAATGTCATAACGAGCAAAAATTAAAAAAAAAAAAAAAACTAATAAGTAGGTTTAAAATTACTAAGTTTGAGTTAATTATACTTTCTATTTGCAAAATTGCCTCAACCTTAACACGAAAAAAGTGAACCTTTAAGAAATTTGCTGGATTTCCCGAGTTAAATAACAGCGGGATCCCGTTTGAGAAACCATAATATAATTATTGTCTTAATATCGATTCATCACGTATACAACCGTAACTTCGATAGTACCGTCGAAGTGAAAACTTTGCTAGTGGATACAGACTTCCACCGCAATCCAAGCGCAAACGCAAATAGGTCACGTGATTGAAAGTATTTACGGCAAGTGTTTGCGCGCTCGTTTTTACTCTAGTCTCGGTCTTACAGCATTTGCACAGCTAAAAAACGTACAGTATACAGCAATGGACGACCGGATGGCCGAGCGGTCAAGGTGACAGCCTACCACTGTGGGGAACCCGGGATCAAATCCGGACGGGTCGAAAAATTCCTGGAGATTTTTCGACCAGTGGGTGGTTCCCATATCACAACTCTAAGCAAATTGCATCTGCCCCACCAAATGGCACTACAAAGTACAAAGAGGCTGTATCTTAATCATAGGTAGGATCTGCCACCTGGTAATCACCAAGGTGCCTGTACGTTTAAAGTCGAACCTGGGCTAAGTGCTCTGGCTCTGGCGATACAACCCAATGGGTCGTAGATCGCCAGTGGATCGTCCGAATATGTCAAGTCCCGTCCCTCACCACCCGGCTGCCCCATTGTGAGCCTAGACGAACCCGTAAATGGGCTTACTAAAAGAGGCCCTCTTAGTGCCTACAAGGCGGAAAGTTTTAAAAATATAATAATATATAGCCTTTAATAATTTACCGATTACAGAAGTATAATGATCGCAAAGATTTTCGATAACCGGTTTCTTGACAATAGGAAATAAATTTTCCTATTGTCAAAAAAATGTTATAAACTTTACTATTTTTATTATTATTATACACAGTATTGAAGAACAGAATAAATTAAATTTTTATAAATTCAATATAAAAGTTTTAATATTTTAATAAAAGTATTTTTTTTATGTTGACAGTTGATTAATTTTGAATAAATTCCTCTTAGATTTTGCTGGCCATCCGCCAGCAAAATCTAAGAGGAATTTATTGAATTATGGGTAAAATTTATTGAATTTATAAAAAACATATTCAACATATGCACTACAGTATACTTTTGGCTATGTTTGGTGACCTTCGTGTGATTGGTGTATCGCATTTTGAAATCAAAAATGTCTTCCCAGAATTGCAACACGTTGCAATTCAACTTAGTAACTTCCCAGAATTTACTAAGTTGAATTACGTGATTAGACATTAAATACCAGAGATTAACTTTCTAGATTATAATTATTTGGGTAATACCAGTACAGTGGAGCCTCTATATTTGTCATTAATCTGTTCCTAAGGATGTAACGAATATGGAATATGAATATAGAAACAATTTTTCTCATAATAAATAACTGATATTCAATTAATCCGTTCCCATCCTGAAAAAAAAGGTACAAGAATAAAAATTTGTTGTTTGTAAAACTTTATCTTTATTCTACTAAATAAATACAGTATAGTAGAAGGGGAAGAACAGTATTATTAATATAGTACTGTATTATTGTTTAGAAGACATCAATTAAAACATTACGTAATTCCAATTATGATCGTGGGGTCTGTTTTGCCGATGATTCAGTAGCATTCGATTTAATAAAGAACTTGGTCAGTGTTGTATGTTTTTGTCTGCTTTTTAAAATTTTTCTGAAATAGTCAATTACATTATCATTGAATGTATTTGTATTTTGGTTGACAATAGCAACATTTAGGTGCCACTTTGGAGCGATTGGAACTTGGTTTCTCGCATTTGATTGTTTTTCAATAATTCAACAGCACATACAAAGCAGACTGATTAACTACGGCTAGCTTACAGTGGCTAGAATATATAGTGTGTCGTTCGTGTCTAAAAACAGGTTCCGANCCGATGCGAGTGCCCTCTGGTGAGGCGTAAAAACGAGAACCTAATGTAGTTTAGGGATAAAATAGCGAACGACACACTATATATTCTAGCCACTGTAGCTAGCTGATGGGCGCGGGCGTGCGATTGTAGTGCCACTTCCAGTGTTTGGAATGACCACGAATACAGAAAATACTGACGAATATGGAAAAAAAAGTCGTCAAAATGTGACGAATATCGAATATTACGAATATAGAGGTTCTACTGTACTGTAATAATTTTTGTTTATAAATATTTCGTTACTCAATAGCTTATATACAGTATTCCAGTATTTCGCTGCTTAATATAGTCAAGTTTGGTCATACGTAGATAATTGTTATCCTTCGTGTAGATAGTTTTCGTCCTTGACACTGTATTTTATGCGCTTAAAATGATAAATGTTCTACACCTACTCAACTGTCCCTTTAATTAACGTTGCTTTTTTCCGGGTTTCGTGAAATATCACGCCTCCACGCAAACAATAAGGGGACTTCAAACTAAATACTACAACCATTTTATTCTATTTCGTAATTTTAATTCTACAATAATTGTATTTTGTCTTAAATCGACTAGTCGCACAGGAGCTTCTAGGTTATATCGCCCCGTAGTAAAGTGTGACCAGTTGATCATGTGATAGTAGTTGTATACGTGTGTGACGGTCGTTACGCCGGAATAATGCCTTCCGGGAGGTTTTTTAAGGGTAAGCGGCCCATATTTCAGGTGTTACAGACGTGGAGAAAACCCGGAAAAATCCACGTGGCCAGCCCGTCCGGGCGAGACGACCGAACTCCCGGTGTTCAGGAAACGGAACCGCTTGATCACTGGTGGACCAAAAATTGTATTTTATACAAATTTTTCAATATCGAAAGGACAAAGGGTACTGCGATTGAAAACCCATCATTAGTACCACTATTCCTGCAAAATATGTTTGTATGTATTAATGCTACTCAAGTGATAAGTTTTAACTGTTTCTATATAATTTTTTTTTTATTATTTCATTGAATTTCTGAGCTTTCAAACTCTTGCATTCCTACACCCGGGTCTAATGGGCCTAGCAGAAAATCCGCCATTGTTACAAATATCAGAAATAATATTAATTTTAATCATGAAAACACTAAACAACTTTTTATCTATAATTATTTCGTAATTTTACGGACACAATATTGTCTTAGCAGATAAAACAGCAGAATGCTTGTAATTGGTCGCGGGTTGGCGCATGGTCAATGGGCTGGCCACGTGGAGTTTTTTGGTTTTTCCTTGTTATAACAATGCAACGTCATTTGTACACTTTAACTTATTCTCCAATCAAATTTATATAATACTTGCATAAAGAAACCCGAGAAGAACCAAAGCAGATTGGCAGAGCATATTGTATTACGATAACAACATGAATGCAAGCGAGTGTTTTCTGGTATCTGTTGGTATCATTTTTGTTACTTCATGTACGATGAGACTTTTGAAAGAGATTTTTCGGATGATACAGCTCTATGTATCTCCAAGCTTTTTAAATCATCACCCGAAAAGATTTGGAGAATGGGCCGTAATCACCGGTGGGAGTTCCGGTATTGGAAAACACACAGCCCATGAGTTAGCAAAGAGGGGTTTGAAGGTAATGCTTATTAGCAACGAACTAGAAGAACTGGAGGCTACGGCTAAGGACATCGAAACAAAATTTGGAGTCGAATGTTGTTACGCTCTGGCTAATTTGACTGGTGGAAAAGAGGATTATGACAATCTGTGGAGTAAAATAGAAGACAAAGACGTCGGGATTTTTGTAAATTGCGCTGGAATCGCCGGTAGATTACCGTGTGATTTTCTAAACGAAACCGAAAGTAACACACTAACAATGATAGCTTTGAACGTGAAAACTGTAATCAGTACTACTTACAGAATGACTAAGATGTACGCCAAGAAAAATAAAGGAATTGTTATTAATGTTTCATCGGCTTCTCCGATACATCCATTTCCTTACTTAGCCATTTATTCCAGCTGTAAAAAGTTCATAGATATATTTACCAAAGCGGTCAACGTGGAATTCGTAGATAAAGGCATAATGTTGCAATCACTCCTTCCGTTTTTCGTTCAAACTAGAATGACAAACAAACTGATCACAAAAAGCGTGTTCGTTCCTCTGTGTGAGAAATTCTGCAAAAGTTGGATAAAATGTATCGGAAAGGAACAGAGTTACACTGGTTACTGGTTGCACGAAATTCTATTTTATTGTATTTCCTGCTACGGATACTCTCCTTATACTCTCCTCAGATATTTACTTGTAAGAAACTGAGAGATACATAATTTCATCATTTCAATTTTTTTTTTTTTTTGTAAAAATAAACGTATTAAACTTTACTTATGTTTAATAAAAATTTTTTTATAATTTATTTCTTATTCTTTATTTATTTTTTTTTCTAATAATAAAAGAAAAAACGACCGAACACTGGTAATTGATTGTGGGTTCGCGCCTGGTCGACAGGGTTGGATACGTGCAATTTTTTGGGTTTTCTTGACGTTTATAATACCTAAATAGGGGCCAATTTCTATAAAAGTTCTCCCGAGTGGCATTTCCCTCGGCAGATCGCCCACGTGTCACGTTACCGTAAACAAAGAACAGTTCCACGTGATTTACAATAGACAATTTTTATCGCACAGTTACTCAAAGTATTTGAATATATTTTTATAATAAATTATATGTTTAAGTGCTTTTGTTATAGTGTTAACAATATAATTTGACCCCATATTATTTTTCCGGCTATTACGTATAAATAACAAGGAAAAGTATTGAAATGGTATCAAATTTGACCTTCCGAGTTTTTCCAAATTCCTACGTTTTGAGACCATCTTAACCCAAGAAAATGTAGCAACGAGTTGCATAACTTTCTAGGCTCTTAAAAAATAACTTTTACAGTATATTTTATATTATAATAAAATGGCGAAAAACTTAATTTCGGGGTAGAGATGAGTTTTATAAACGCTAATAAGGAATAAAGTCTTTATTAAGTCTATTCTATTCTTCTCCCACCAGGTTCATATGGAGTCTTTATTAAGTCCAACCCACTCGACCTTTATATACAAGCTACCGTGCAAATGACTTACAGCATCCAGTAGGATTGAAGAATGGTCATGTGTAAGTGCGACAATATTCTATTATGAATTGCTGATTTACATACAACGAACGCATAGTTTTTCCTTAACAGACCAATATCAATTTAGAAAATTATTTTAGATTTATTCTTATATTTATAAATACGAGTAAAATATTTAAATTAGTAACACGCAATGGCATTTATTATGCAAATTTTACTATGAGATTATGCAAACGAAGCTCTAGCTGGGAGGCGTCCAGATAACAATAGAAATCTCACAATAACAAACAACAATGGAACGTATTGTAAGTTATTAATTGTAACTATAAGTTGTGAAGTTTTACTCGATGATGTCATAATGTTAAAATGCGCATTGTTTTCACTGATTTGTGTTATTTAACATTGTTTTTAATTATAATTTATCTACGGTACTGTACTGTACTTTATACAAACAGGAGAAAGGATTTTGTTATTCGCGTGCTTTTAAATAATTAATTATTTAACTTTAAACAATGTTAGAAAGTCATTTTGACATTTATTGAGGAAAATTGCATTTTTTTTTTTTTTTTTTTTACGATTTGGTGAGAATTGCTGGTTATGATGTGACGTCACACAATGAATAAAGTAAAAGTCAAACTGTGTTGATTTTGACTTTATTCCTTGAGTGTTGAATTTGATTCGTTTTCTTAATACAATGGTACCTTTAATTCTTATATTATTATAATGAAATACATTAGATTTTAAAAGTTCGTTGAACTTACTCTTTAATAATCGACCTGTCTTGCATTGAATGATTGCTGAAGAAACTGATTTTAATATCGAAAATTAGGTTGAAAAAATGACTTTTTCACCTATTTAATATTCGCAGATTCGACTACACTGTTCGCATCCGAATTAATTTTCCATTGTTTGATGCAAATATAATTAGAATTTTTCCAAGTTTTCCTATTAATACGATCTTTTAAATAAGCAAAATCATAGAAATTTTACGTGGTTATAGTGTTTAAAATCGTAAATCATACTTTATATTATTCCGCTACATTACGTTTTGAGTGCTTTAGCTTTTAAATATTTTTTTATTTAAAGGCTGATTTTAATCTTTTTGCTTATGCACGCGATCTCCAGGAGATGGAGGTAAAAATGTAATGCTTTTTCTATGGGAAAACTTTAAAGTCGTTTAAAATTTCCATAGTAAAAGCATTAAATTTTTAATGCCATTTGATGGACATACCAAAAAGATTAAAATTAGCCTTAATTATGACTTCGATCGACTCGAAGGTGGTTTTTTTTAGTGTAAAAATTTAATATTGCTTTTAAATGAAAAAGTTTACTTTTTTATTTTAAGGAGTCGGTAGTATAATAAATTATTTTTAAAAATAAATTTTTATATGCCTAATAATAACTGTTTATTCTGGAATATTTGGGTACAGGATACCTCGAAACGTTACGTGTACGATCTTAACCGGAGTACTTTATTAATATGACAATCGATAGTGGGAAATCCCGTTGAGTCACTTCAATCGCCTACTTCTAAGCGTCGATAGAGATTCTTCTACATCCCTAGTAAGAAAAGTAAGTCTTATTTCGTAACATTACAGAATAAACTTCCCTTAGACGTATATTGTAATAATCGGTTATCAAATTTTCTTCGCGTAATCAGAGTCGTCGAGAGGAACAACGGGGAATTTTCCCGGTTTGGAGAAAAATTAGGAATCTGTTGTGGTTCCTACCTCTATAAACTAAAGCTATTTTTACTAAGAAGAATTGTTTTTAATGGCAAAAGGGGCCTCTCTAACTCCGTGCCCCATAAGACCTCTCGACTGCCCTGCTCATAATATATTCGCAAATGGAAACGATATATTCGAGTTATATAAATTTTTAAATAAATATGTAACGTTAATTATTCAAGAAAGATGATTGTTAAAATACTTATTCATAGGTGTAAATATTAGGGAAGTAATAAAAAATGTTAAATGGTTCGGTGGTGTCCAAACTACCGCTCCGTATTTCGCACATCATTTATAAATAATAGAAATAGGTCTAGTTTTTGTATTTCGGGAATATACAAAACTCTATTTTCTTTGGTACTGAGAAATAATATAGGATACTTACAGGTTTTAAACTTATCTATGGTTATGTTTATTTAAAAACATTGCGAAAAGCATTGCCGAATGCTACAAAATTCTTTTAAAATTAGTTCAAACGTCGAACCGTTCAATTTTGCATTTGAAGCAAACACGCAAAATCGATTGTTAATAATAATGTGAAAAATACAGAGTTCAAGAGAGGACGAATTTAGGGAGGTGCGTAGGGCAATGGTGTATCGTCCTCCGGGGATATTTCAGAGTATCTCGTGTAGTAAAAAATTTTGTAATCCGTATTGTTTCCTTTTCTGTACCCCCTCTAAAGTGTTCTGGATCCGCTATATCGTTCGTGACCATCAAATAACTTTTTCACCAACGGTTCTTCGGACCTTTACACCGCAGGACAGATAGAGATAAATGTAACCGACCTTCCAAAAATAACATTTTGCGATAAATTTCACTATAACAATTTTAATTTTTATCTGAGGTTATTGTATAAAAACAGACATCAAAAATAAAAATTCAATATACAAATTTTAGTGGTGCCCGGGATCAAGTAGAGAAGGTGGTATTATGGAACCCAACTACATTACAGTGAATTGTAAACAAGGTATCATAACTACACTCACACTTTTTTGTGCGAAAAGTACTTTTTTTTATTTTTTAACTCTTTCTGCCCAGTGCGAAAAGTACCGGTAAGTATTAAACTAAATGTTCCTAATTGGATTTTTCGCTACTGTAACTATAAGTATAGTTTTTGAAGGCTTCTGTATAAAAAGTCAGAAAGTAGGCTTAGGGAAAATCGGGTGGTAATATGGAACCTTACTGTATGTTTTCAAAAAATGCTTTAATGTAACCAAAAACAAATAGGAAAGTAGAAAGAATGTTAAATAATTACAAAAATATTTACTCCAATGTATTTTATCGAAAAAATGCTTTTATAATAGAAAAATATGACCTCCATCAACTATATTCCAGCAGCTCTTTTTCGATATTCTCAGGAGGAATTGGCTTTCTACCTAGTGTCTTTTTCACAAGTTGTCCGGACGAATGTCTGCTCGCAAAGAGAGAGTTCTGAGGAGTTGGGTTCCATATTAAAAGCACCAATGGGGTCCGTATTTCACGCATCGCCATCTTGAGTTAACTTATGTCTCTCAAGACCAAACTTTAAAAAAAACGTCACACAGATTAATATGTACCCCTAAGTCTCTGGAACAGAATACATGCACCAGTGAACCTACAACTACACGATTTATATTTTAAAAATAATTAAATTCACTTAGCATTCAAAACTTTCAATTTTGAAAAAAACAAATATGCTGATTCACTACGGACAACCGCTTAACTGATGTGAAACGGGTTTTCCTCTTGCTATGGATGTCTGCCTAGTGCAGTTCAGCCACAATCCGCTACAGTTCGCCTTTATTATCAGTTTGAAATGGAGGGGTTCCATAATACCACCTTTTCCTCTATATATATGTATATATAAAACAATAAATCCAAAGCTGGAAGTCTCAGTTTATTGTGTGATCGGTGGGGTTATCGTTTACTACAGACTGGAACCGACTGAGGTGGCACGAACCCCATGCTATATTATTTTATTTTGTACTCGTTAAGTTTCTATTTAGTCTACTGTACTATAACTATTAATTTTTACCACACTGTAAATTACATTATGAAAAAATTAATGCGCTTTTTAAAATCCCATTCGTTCAAAAATCCTGCGCATGAACCCGATTTATACTGATGGCAATAACCGAGTAATAACATTACGCGGTATAGATAATTAGGCCACAATTAATGGAAATTCTAATTTTTATTGAATCACGTAATTTAATAATTTGATCTTTTCAACAGGCACTTCGTTTTCAGGTATCTCAGTGCCTACTTTTAAAACGCCACTGTCTGTACTGTTTTCTGTTCTGGAGATTCTGAAAAATTGGTTTTTGACCAATGACTCTCTGTTTGCGCTTCTTAAATTTTATTGCACAATGAGAATAAATTGTTTAAAACAATTCTGAACGGTCTTCTCAGCCACTGCCAAAAGATGTAATGCGTCAAGTAGGGGAATTCTTTTGGCAGTAGAAGTAAAAATAATATCAGAAATAAATCAAGGATAAAGG